ATTCAGCTCAGTCAAGTATAATTACCTGCTGGAGCAGGGCACATCACTTTGCATTTGTTATTATTATCAATGCCACAGAAGCACCAAATCCAACGGCAGTTTGATTAACGTGAGGTCACAAAGAGCTCCTCCTCCTCCAGCGCTTCCTTCTGCAGGAGTTTACAACATGATCAGTACAATATAATAATCGAAATTGCAAAAATTGCTAGGTCCAATGCTAGATTAGTACCAAGTTTTGGTTGGAGAGGAAAAAAAGGCTCAAGAGGATGTCTGCAGGAGCTGGAAGCCTGCATGTGCTCACAGAACTTGGGAGCCTTTGCTCTTGTCTCTTACTGCCTTGAAAATGGTAAATCCCTGGAGCCAGGCCATTGATTTCAAAGATAAATTTTGCCAAGTCACTTCAGAATTCTGGCAAGTTTAAGCCTTTTGTGACAAACCTCTGATATATTTCTCTCTCTAAATTGTCAGAGGCTTTGGAGGGCTGGGGGTGAACAGATGCACAAGTCTCTCAAATTTAACTGAGTTCGGATGCAAAATTCACTTAACCTTGAGAAAACACAGAACAAGTTTTTAGTAGAAAAATACATATCCTTCCCAATCAACTGATGTGTTATGTTAGGTGTTAATTAATATTTTTCTAGATCTTACATCTCCCACCCCCACTTTTTGGTATCATGTAGTTTATGGAGGACTGGAATACTGGATGTTTTAACCTAGATTTTTTCTTTTTTTTAACCTTCTTGATAAAAACATGAATGACCAACACTCTGTCAATCCAACACATATACATATATGTTTACAGATCACTGAGACAAAACAAGAAGGCTAGAGATTATAAAAGGATTGACTGCTTTAGACAGATTAGGCTAACAATTTTCAACAGATATACCATAACCAGTCACAGTGTTAGGAAGGTTGGAAGGAAAATTGAGAGCATCCCTGTACAGTTAAAGTCCTTACTAGCCTGCAACATATTTGGGTGGTTACATAGTAGTAGAGCTTTCAGTTGCATTTTTTATGTGTGGTGGTAAAAGTATTCCAGTTTAATAAAATGAAAAATTAAAAGAAAATCAATTAAAAATAGAGGTAAATCACAAAACCAGAAACTTTATGCTCCACTGTTAACAAATTCAGAAGACTGACCTCATTGGACTCATTGCTAAACCACTCAACAGGCAAACTTGACAGCGCGTTAGACTATGGTGTCCCTGATGCCTTTTCAGAGCTTCAGAAACTACTGAGGTTCCCAAGAAATTCTCTACCATTCTCTACATTCCCTGCATGTTTTTCAGCATAAGATATGGTTAAAGAATAAAGAATTAATTCTGTGCAATGCAGAACACAATTTGTCTTGTTTTGTAAGGCTCCTGCTGAAGTCCTGGCTCTTGAGGTACCATAGCCAAAATCAATCCACGCCTCCGTTCATCGTGCCTCAGGGATGAATGGATGCAGTCTGTGTCACATCCATAAGAGCTACTTCCATTATTCTGTGACCCCCCCAAAACAAGTATAGTTCAATTGATTTTCTTTATTCCTCTGAGAAGGTTGCAAGGGAAAAGCTGGGCGAAATGAAGGAGAGCAGCACTCTCCCTGTAGGGTTTGGAAAATACCAGGAAAGGGGAGAAGCTGGAGTTTAATAGAGGATGCTCTTATGCAGGGATCCCTGGAGGCTGGAGACCGCAGAGATCTGTCTTCCTAAAACTATGGCAACAGTAATACCAAAGGGAAGCGCTCTGACTTTTGCAGTCTCTGCCCACTTATGGAAAAGGTGATTTCCCATACTTTTTATCATAGTTAATGCAATGCATAATGACCACAGGTTACAGTAGAGGTAACCTTGACATCTGACTGATGTAATCAAGGACTCATCTTTCAGTTTCATTACCTGCCTTGGACCAGGAATAAAAGAAAAAAAACAAAACACACAAAATACCCTGATCTGTTTCATTCTTTTCATATGAAACGACTTTTTCAGGAACTAATTCCTTATCTTGTTCTGTTAGAAGCTCCTGAACTACAAATAGCTCTTGCTTGGCCCAGAATTCTTCTGTCTTTATCTTCTTTATTTGAAACAATTTTCTTTCTTTAATATATTTTACTATCAGAACTAATAGATTCACCAGAAAATTTCAAGCTATGGGAAAATGTTGGTTTCAGTTATTCTTATTTCTCCATCAAGAGAATCTAAATGAAAAATACCACTTTCAAGTCTGTGCTTTGAAATGGAACATTTTAAATTTAATACTACTCTTTGGGGAAAAATAAACAAAGAAACAAAACAAACATCTTTCTCTATTGAATCATTTTGTTTCACCACTTAAATCTCAACATTTTACTGTGTATGGGATAAAACACCATTACTCTTCATATTTCTAAGAAGAGAGCCTGTCACCAGAATATGAATATGTTCACATGGACCTAATTGACTGTACATGTCAGGACTGCGTGTTCTTAAATATTCTACTTGATCAGTCACAATATAAAAACAGAAAAGAAAGTAATTTCCTTCCTCAATATTTTATGTAAGATGTTACAAAATTTCTAAAGCTTTTTGGATCAAGTGTTTCCTACATACAGTCAGCAAAGGAAGGCAGAAATACAGTTGACCCAGGAATGTAGAGACTGAATAATTTCATTAAAAAAAAAAAAAAAAGAGCATGAACTTCAAGAACAGTTTTTGTAATAGTTTATTATAGCTATTCAGTGCCACAATCTGCAAGGCTTAATGCATTTTACCTGCAAGGGTAGGTGGACTTATCAACTGTGGATTTATTCTAGTATTTTCAAGCTTTGTGACCAATGCAGGAAACCGTAATATTCCTCTGGACACAATGCTGGGATTTTTTTCCTTCATTTCTGAAGGCATAATTCAATCAGGAGTGAAGTGCTTTAGAAATTATTTGGTAGGTAAAAGGGGGCTCATCAGGCACGTAAGCTGATATCCCTCTGACATTTTATTCATATCTCCCTTGATATGCCTTCATGAAATCAGCACCCTTCACACTCTCGAATTAAATTAGAGCTGGTGCTCTCCTAGTCTGACATCAGAGAGATCACAAATGCTCCAAGGCAGGGGGTGGCCCTCTTGTGCTGAGGAAGCAAGCCTAACAAAACGTATGCAGGGTGCACTGGGTGTCAGATGCCAAAACTCAGCCTCCTCATTTTCCATGTTAGTTTCCAGACTTCCTAATCTACAGCTTTGCAACTTTTTTTGCTGACAGAAACTCCAGCTTGGGGGTGTGTTCAAAAAAAGATGATATAACACTCAACTGGTCTTAACAATAAATTTTTTTTGGGTGACACTTGAATGAAAACAAAGGTTTCCTAGCTGTTTTTAAGGGCTCTTGTCTCCAGATTATTCCAGCAACAGTAGGGCTCTCGTTATTTCTATACCACCTACCTGGATTTTAAGACAGAGTTAAACCATTCACAACCTTTAAAAGAGAAGACTAAATGATAGCATCAGCTCTCCAGTGAAAGAACAGTAATAGGAAGTCAGAGGCATTGCCAACCCAACAGGGGAGAGAGGCATCATCACAGGGACCTCTGCCTGCAGATTTCTCCAAACCACTTGGACGCTTCACACAAATAACACAACAAGAGCTAAATTCACAATTACCTGTGTATTTTACATTGTGTCATAATTAGCTGCAATGTATATATACTTCACTTTAAAATAGCTATGAATAGACAGAGTAAATGCCAGGGACTGCCATCTGCTTCGTAAGCCATAATTAACTGCCTGATTACGACATACGTATATATTTATCTAATTAGTTTTAATAGTGCTGCTTTTGCTGGCACCACACCAAAAGTAAGGTGAAGAAGTGAGTCCCACCCATTTACAGAGAGGCTGGGGATGCAGGCAGCTCTCACGGGGACTTGCTCCAGAGGCCTGTCGGATTCAGTAAGAGTGCAGACGAGCACCCCAAAGAGGGCATTGCAAAACCAGAGGGTTTTGCAAGACAAGACTCAGGGCATGGCTAAGACAGCCCCCATAGCCTGTCCCTGTGTGCAGCATGAAGCACATCTCATCTTGGATCTCAGACAAACCCTGTGGTACAGGGGTGATGACCACACTAAGAGGTCAGGACAACAAACACGTAGACAAACATAGCTATGTCCCACCAGGCACAAACTGTAACCAAATGCTGCTTCTTAAAACAATCCAGGATTACTGATTATTTGAGCCCACAGAATTCTATTGTCAGCATAAATCCAGAAGGACTTTCTAGGGAGATTAGGATACTTATCTATTTTGTTCAGAAATAAATAAATCTCCGAATACGTGTTTTTTCCCCAGTTGTCTCTGCAGTATAACTGGTGTTGCATTCGCTATTAATATAAGGTGAGTAGCATTAATGCTTTGCCACAGGACACATTATCATAAATTCCACATTTTGATTGCAACTCAGACGCTTCCTGCAGGATAAATACATTTAGGGCCACATTTTAAAAGTCTTTCAGATGCCAAAGGGTACATTCAATATTGATTTTGAGGGAAGCCAGGCATCCAAATGCATCAAAACCCAGTCATTCAGCCCAGCCCCACTGAACCACTCAGTCAATTTCCAAGGGCTAGTGAGTTTCTACGTTAGATTAGGAAGCACTGCAATTACGGTAAACATGGGACATATACCTCTCTATGCATGGAAAGCCAAAGGAGTAGAGGAGATGGCCCATATCTCCATCAATCCTTGCACACTTGGTGATTTCACAGAATCAGATGCTATCCATCAGCTTCTCTCCTGCGTACCAGTGGCATCTATTATTTACACCTCCTCCGGCTGGTTGATAGGTCTGAATTTTAAAGCCTGGCTCCTCTGTGGATTCAGTGAGGTTCATCCACGAGGAGCTTTGTGTTAACTTTACAAAAAAAATTACAAAAATCACCTCCCCGCCTCCCTCTCACTGCCACCCCCCCCCCCCCCCCCAAAAAAAAAAAAACCAACAAAAAACCAAAAAACACAACATAAACATACAGCAGAGACATGGGGGATGCCCAAAGCTTCAATGGTCTCACAGCACCGGCCGTGTCACACACCTCAATAGCCAGGTCCTGATTCTTGCTACCACACCAGTTACACAGTAGAGCAGTCCATCAGCCCAGGCAATGATTTGGCAAATCTGTCAAAGCCTGGTAAATGAAACGTGACAGACACTTCCTCACTTGTTGCCCACAGCGGGGCCAGATGACAGCAGTGACACCGATGCGACTACCCCGCAGCAGAGCAGGTACAGTAATTTAGTGACAGGTATGCGTGTCTCCATTCCCTCTCCCCCCATCCCCAGGGAGCACCAGCTGTGGATGCCATTTCTTCCAGCCTGCAGGGTACAAACACCTGAGAATTCCCTTTATTTCAGCAGATGGGCTGAAATCCCTTGACCCCCAAAGAGCCTGCGTAGCAGCATCCTTTCCTGCTGCTGAAGGTGGAAAAACACAGTTCCCTTGCTTTTCTGGGGGAACTGACAGCCCCTTGCTAGTCCAAATGAAATATTATTGCTCTGGTATTGTAATTAGGTGGTGTACAAAGCTGGCAATATTGCAAATGCCAAGTGGGAGGAGATGAAGATCATTTTTTTTGTTTGTTTTAAGGAGATGTGGGAACGTAATTTTTCAAATGGGACCAATAAAACTATGTAGTCCTTTTTAGAGCCTGTATCTGGAATGCTGCTCACAGGCTCTCTCAGAGCCATAACAAGACAACTGCTGGAATAACAGAATAGAAACTTCTGACATTTCAGTAAATAACGTGGGACGGGCTTAACTCTTACAGCTTCTGCAGAACCCATCAGCAAGCCGAGCAAGACACGTTATCCCATAAGATTAAGACACATCGTGAGATTAAGACACACCGCAAGCTAAAACATTTAATTAAAGAAGAGCCATGCCATCACCCTGGGCCTGTCTCTCTGCTGGGAGATGCGCAGAGCCCTATTCCTTGGACCACAAGCCTGCTGTTTCCCGTTCCTGTCTCTGTTCACAAAATGAGGATCCCATTCAGTAAGACCATTAGCTAAGCAGCTTTACTACTCTAGTAGCTTTGCATCTGTGAGTCCTTCTACCTGACTCCTGATGGCCTCTGTCCAGAAAAGCACTTAAACATATCCCTCTGTAGCCAAGGGAACATCCTCTCTTTGGCTCCAGAGGAACTTCTCGCATGCTGGAATTCACAAGTGTGCTGCTGAATCAGGGCCTCTTGCTTCTTTGTCCAATTAAGAGCATTGTCCTTGTTAATTATAAGCAAAACAAGGCAGGTATTGTGTGCTGTTTGTTGGAGCAATTTTAAATGCTCTGTGATAATTATTACCTCCATTTTAGGAAACATTCTTCTGAACCCACACCAGAGGTTTCTGTTCAACAGCGTCATGGATATTAGGGTCCCACCCCCCACTTGGTCTAGGACATTCAATCAACAAGACCACTCCTTACGACCATCTCGGGTAATAAAGCTGAAGCAAATAGATCAGATGGAAAAAGGAGGAACACTTTCCCTCCGTTAATTTATATTTTATTGCAGATTTCAATTATGCCAGCCACTGATGCATGCAGAATTCACATGCTCCTCCCTGGACCTTCAGAAGCCAAGCTGAGGCAGCGTATTGCTGTGATCCCAAGAGCCAAACTTTCACAGACCTGTGCCAAACCCTCGGGCTTCCTCTGTGTGCCTTGGTGCTGAGCTGCTTCACTTTACCCCCTATTCATTTCGCTCAGTTCCTTCCAGCTGCTTATTTGCCACACGACCACGAAGCACCACCTGCCTCGTGAGGCCACACTGTATTCAGCGTGGCCAGAGATTTCTCAGCATGCTGATACACTAAGACACCGCTATTTGCCTTTTTTGAGGCAGCTCTGATCTCACATTTCCTGAGGGAAAACAAGCAAGCATCCATCAAAAATGCCCAGCCTTTTTGGCATTGACGCCCAGCCTGAGCATTGAGATTTTTACTGCAATCCAACTTCATTTCCACTTCCTGTGAAAAATTCCATTCCATTTGGAAAAGCCTGCTGTCCTTTTCCATCCCTTGCTTTGTTTTTCTGAAATCATCAGTTGAGATGGATGTATTTCATTAGAGAAAGAAATAAAAAAGGAAAGAGACAGATGTCAACACCAAGTTTTTTCCCTTGCCACTGTTGCTCCCTCAGATCAGTGGTACCCACCCTGCTAGCAGCATCAGGTGATGCCACTCCAGATGTAACACACTACCTCAGTTTGGGTGGTAGTCTGGAGGTTGGGTCACAATGTTTTCCAGGAGAGGTGACTATTTTTTCACAGTGTAAAGGCTTATGCATCTGAATGGTACAGAAAGAGTCTACATAGATCAAGACACCCTTTGCAAGAAAAAAGAAAAACACACCCCCAGGCAAGGGCACAGCTGGAGGTTCAGCTTCTATTTGTGGTTTGGCACCTGGCTTGCTTCAACTTTAAGCCATCCCCTCCTTAAAATGGTGCTGCTGTTTCTTTCTTTGTGAAGTGCTTTGAGACTGCACTAAAACACAGCCGGGTGTTAGAGGTCACTGCACAGCACACTGCCTCCGTGAAAGACCTGAGGCTTCCTTTTAGACACACAGCACACTCAAAACGTGGGTGGTGAACTAAATCCAGGCCAGCTCTGTATAATGCCAAGCTCTACAACACAGGTCGGGGCTTTTCTGTTGCTAGAGTTTGAGGTACAGCTTCAAGAGTAAGGATGGGATTTGGCCAGCTTTGTTTGCGTGTGATCAGTACACAACAGCAGGCATTTTAAAGAGGAAGGAGATAGGGGAAGAAAAAAAATAAAATCAGAGCCCTGTAAGGTTTAAATGATAAAAATAAAAAAAAAAAAAGAGCTCATATATGACTTGAAACTTTAGGTCTCTAATTCCATGCACGTGCCCTCTGAGCTCCCCGTGTGCTGGTCCTGGGAGGAGCACATCCCTTAACAGCCTCCTTGGGGGTACCCAAGCTGGATTTAGAAACCTCCCTGCTTTGCTGGGCAGCTGGGCTGGAGGTACATGGTCACACAGGGCTCGGTACAGCACCAAACAAGCCTTTAGTACCCATACACTTGTGTTTTTGTACATTACGGTAGCAGACAGAGATGGTAGGAGCACCAACATTTGGGTGACCTGAGTAATGACAAGCTAACAATGCATTAAATACAGCAGACTCAGGGCTTTGCCATGCTCCAGAAGAGCACGCTGTGAAGGCAGGAGCACACACCTTTTTACCTTGGTTCACTGAAGGAACAGAATCACCACACAAAGCAAACATTCATCCAGCTCCCCCTCTGCTGGCCAGCCCTGCAGTGACTTTCAATTGGCTTTTTGTCACCTCCTTGATTTGGCAGCCAGCTTCTTGACAGCAGGCAATGAGTGCCTAAGTGCTCTCGGAGAGCTCTCCTAGCAAGGGTCTTTCCTTACTCAAAAATTGGATGACAGCATGATGCCTACACCTGTCAGCATCCCTGACACCAGCCACTTTTCTCATTGATCTAATGCTTCTCCAGCAAGACTTAACCAAGGACCAAGCAGCCCTGATCTACGTGCAGGGGACACTGCAACAGGGCTTAGTAAGAAGTATGAGTTTCTCTAGAGCTGGGAAATAAGCATGGAGAAATATTTTGAATTAGCATTAACCTTTTCTGTGTTATAAAGTTGTGAACCTTGCATCATCATCCCTTACTTCAAGGGCCGAGTTGCATCTGAAGAGCCAGATCTGTCACAGCCATGCTGACAGCTGCTGAGTATCCCAGTCTCTTGGAGAAGCACACTAGAGGGCCTGTGAACATCCTCATGGGAGGTATCGGGTGTCCCAAGGACTTCTGCCTGAAAAATAACATTGCAGGGACAAAGAGCAGGAACAAGACTAAGATTTGTTGCCCTTCTTCCACAGGAACAAACAGCCCTCAGATGCACGAGGGAAAGGCCATGGGGGCACAGCAGCCTTGGTGCTATTAAAGCTCAGTGCTATATGAATTTATTTTAGACCTTTGTAAAGTGGCTTGAGGCTCAGTAGGAGGAAGGGAAAATTGGATCTGATGGCTGGGGCATCGAGGCTGGTGGCAAGTCATTGCCCTACTGCTGAGCAATTCCATGAGTGCCACTGCTGCGGTAAAATTGGTAGCATCACAGCAAGAATTAGCTGGCGTTTGTGTCTCCAGCAAGTGAAAAAAGATTTCCCCCAAAAAGACTGGGCCCAATGCAAAGGGAGAACACTTTCTACAAAATTGCAGCTCTTAGCTTTTCTTCCCTCTTCAATTGGCCTCCCCCTGTGCTGTTCCGAGCACATGCCGCCATGCTCGGCTGTTATTAAATCTGTAAAGCTTTCAGGAACATATTCAATATGGGAAGTGGAGCATAATGGTGGAGGCACATCAACCTTATCTGGATTTCAGGAAATTGAGGGGAAAAAGCCCTCAACAAGTGTTCAAAGAGGATTGTGTGAAAAAACTGCAGACAAACATGTTGGGCAAAATGTTCAGTGTAACCAGATTCACAAATACCAAGCCAAGAGTTAGTTTACTGAAACGTCTGACTTTGTGTTTTTGTTATCCCATTCAATGAAAATAAAAAAGGCCAGGGAGCCTCAGCAATAGGTAAGTAAAAGCCCAGAAGTCAGCTTCCTTCACAGAGCCAATAAGCCAGTTTCCTTCATTCTTCAGAAGAAAGTCATGACAACTTTTGAAGGACAGAGCATGATGCAGATACAGCCTTCCTACTTACATTAGGGAGTAGAGCAAAGCCTTTGGTCCCTCCAATTTTTTTTCCCCTGCCTAACAATGGAAAATAAAGGTTTTTACTGCAACAGGTTTCTTTTATGGGTTTCACCTGCAGACAGCTGAATAGCAATTCAGTCAAAAAGCTTTTACAAAAGGCTGTTTGTAATTTGGTAGAAGCTTAATGCACAACACAATCCTTTCATAAGTTATTTTCAGTGGGATAGTTGCAATATGACACCCAGCTCTTGGACAATCAAGATATGATATTTATGTTTGGCCTGTCACAGCTTACTTATCCTGAATTCTGGTTTTCTTATCAAAATGGCTAAGAGCTCCCCAGACACAGCTGACAGAAGAACAAGTAACATCCCCCTCCTCAACCACAAAGAGTTTTGCTCAGCTGGAAACATCAGGTCAGGGCTTTTAATACCAGCATTTGAGTGGCACTAAAGGCCAAGGTCTTTCTCAAACATCTTCTCTAGGTCAGGAGCAACAGGATTCCTACCCTTCCTGCTTGGAGAGGGTGTCTGTCATGTGGCAGGCTGTGCATTTCAAAAGGCAGGGACCCTTTTGTTCTCAGATAATGAAACTAACTTCTTTAGAAGAGTTATTATTAAAACAAATCCTCCATAGGATTTAAACAGGACAGGAGACAATTTCAGGAAAAGCCTGGCTTTCATGTTGGGTGTAGAAAAGGCACAGCATATAAGAGACAACATCTGAAGGTTGTTTTTTTTTTTGTTTTTGTTTTTTTTTTTTTTTTTTAATCTCTGCATCAAATCTATGAGCTGAGGGACTGTATTTTAGAAAATAATTGTTTGACAAAGGGTTACACCTCAGGAAGCTCAGTGGTGTTAGATCTTTTCTCCCCCCCCCCCCTTTCTCCCCAGAGCAGCCCAGGATTTTGTGCAGAGACCCTGTCGTTTCACACAAAGAAGGGCACGTTGGTTAGAACAGAGCAAAATCCCCTAACACCACCCAAATGTCTAGCCTTTGAAATAGTATGGGGGAAGAGATTCCTCCTTCCTGCCAGTCAGTTGTCCTCACGGACTCAGACCCTCGCCAGCAGATGACAGCTAATCCACCCACATCACTTGTGGTCCCATCCCCATTTCCACCCTGACTGAGTAAAAAGAACAAAATGAAAACAAAGTGTTTTTTGCCTCTTCAGAGATTCAGCATTTTCACTTATTTTGTCTCACTTCAGTGTGAAAGAAGTCCACACCTTAGAATTTCGTAACGCCATCACGATGCCAAAGCCGCAGGTTGAATGAAGGTCGGTGACCTGGGTAATCACAAGGTGCAGCTTGTAGGAGATGTGTCTGCTCCACGCTGCATCCATAAACACACAACCTGCTTTTCCTCTACCACAAAGAGAAGTGCCACTTCACATTTCTTCTCACCCACAAAAATAACTGCTTTCTCTCCACCTCGAGGCAGTGTCAGCCAGCCTCCCTCCCCAGCACCTCCCTAAGGTGGCAATACCACCCCTTTGGGGCTGCAGCACAGCCTCAAATGCCCTTCTCCAGTACAAGAGACTTACTACCAGTTTATGACAGACTGATCTCTCCCCAGGACAGCAAAGACCTTTGAAAGAGCTCAGCACAAAACGTGTATCTGGCACAGAAAATGCCATGTCAAATGTGCAAGGTTATAACCAGCTCTGAGACCTAAGGTAGAGGCAGGGAACTCCCATGTGAGTAAGGCAATACCAGGTTTAGCTCCTTATTATGCAGAATAAAAAGCATGGGAAGGAAATTCGCTTTTGACCAAAGTCTGTCATTTTAAAAAGCACCGAATTGAATTTTAAAAGCACTATTACGAGAAAGGTTTTGTTACATATATATAAATTCAAGTAGATTTAGCAGTAGGGACAATTCTAATTTTACCTGGGCCGACTTCCTCACTCTTCCTAGAGAATGCAGATCAAAAGAATAATTCATAAGCTTTAACAAGGGTATGGATTTGCAAAGTCCCTCCTACTCACATGGGCACGCAGCAGCAGGGAAGGAGCAATGTGAGCTGTGGCCAGAACCTGGCTTGAGGCTACAGACACGTGTGGGGCTCATGGAGCACGTGCTGCCAGGGGAAGGATAGACCCTGCTCCTCACAAGGGTAGGCATCAATATTTCCAAACAGCTCCCCATCTAATTTGTACTTATGCAAAAGAGCCATCCCATAACACAAATCATCAAGCAATTAACATGCAACGCTTTAGTGAGACTCTCCTTTGCTTGTTGTTGAACCATCTTCAGTGCCATTAATGAGAGCTAATTAAATCAATCAAGTCACCATCATACCTCCAACATCCCTGCAGTTACTGAACTCGATTCAGACAGGGAGTGCTTTCCCAGGCACTGCAAATATCAGGACTCACATTTATCATGTTGTCCTTCTCGCATACACCTGCTCTCAGTGCTGTGCCTTTCATTTATCATCTGTTGTCACCGCTCCCATCCCTGACACATCCAGGTGCCAATTAATTCTTCCCTCACTTTCCTGCATGGCTCAAGCACACTGAGCTGAATAATCTGCCTTAATGCCTATTCAAAGCTCTCCTTGCACGAAAGCAGTGATGATCAGCCACATCCCCTAAATTAGGTGGCGGTGACTGTATCCTCTTTGCTTCTGCGTCACAAGTTATTAAAACCTCAAACCACCTCCATGAATTCAGACATTTTTCAGGGGAAGAAACAGAGGTTTTAACTCCCTTCTCCCCACTCCTAGGGGGATTCACAATGCAATTATAAAACAACCAACAAAATACACCGAGCAAAGAAAAATTTGTCAACAGATTATTTCCAGGAAGACCCTCCAAGTGGATAATTGCCATGGACCACAGACCTCCAAAACGCTCTTTAGTCTGATTTGAATACTCATCAGTGTTCTCTAAATACTTGCAGTGGCATTTCTGGTACACCACCAGCCCATGAACCTACCGCTCTGTTCCTGTGAGCATGCAGAGGGATAACAGTCTTTTCTTAAATAGGATCAACCTCTTGCATTATAACATTTGGTCTCTCTATTTATGTTTCTGCTCTGCCTGGCTAACTCTGCTTTTTATTTACAAATCAGCTACATTAATCTGCTTTAATTTCAACACTGGTTGTTTATTTTAGAGACAAATCAGTTGGCAAAAGAAAAGCCACCCTATTGGAAAGCAGCACCAGCATGACACACATTTTTATGTATATATATAAAAATTTAGTAGTAAACTTAAAAGAAGTGTGAAGGCTTATTTTAGTTTTTACTTCCCAAACATACCTGGTTGCATTTTTCATGCTTTACTTATACAAATACCAGCTCGCAGCTCCGAGGGAACAGCATTACTTTCTTAGGCACCCCTTGCCCATGTGCTCCCTGCTCTGCCACTGCAGGCTGGTGTTTATCCCCTTATGCAAAAGGGCTTCTAGAACCTCATCTGAAGACTACCAAAGGCATACCAGGAATAATTTGGCCATTATTATAGTGGCATGCAATACCCCAATGGATATCCTCTTTCATCAGTGAGGGGCACAGGGACAGCACAAAGAAGCCAGACCATGGGCAGTGCCACGTCTCATGGAAAGCCTCTGGTCCCAAACCTCCCTCCTTGGTGAATTTGCTAAGCTCTAGCACAACTTTCCCTTACTTCATCATGCCCCAATACATACTGTAGCAATTTTAAGAATAACATTAATTTTAAGAGTAAGCGCAACTGGCCTCATGGTTCCCTCACACTTCAAAGAAGATCAATGAACTTCTTTCCTCAGAGGAAAACCTCTGTCAAAATTCATGTTTTAATCCACTTAATATCATATATTTGACTAAATTCATGCAACTAAAAGCATTCTGTCAGTTAAAAGCATTTCATCAGGCATACACATGACTCTGGTGACAAAGTGATTTCTGTCAACAAAATTCTGCCTGGCAGACATACAAAAGCTTGCTTAGCAGAGAGTGGGTACGCAGCACAGGCAGGAATCAGATACCGCAGATTAAGCGGTTATAAAAAGACACGGAGGAGAGAGAAGTTATCTGCTTGGTGCCAGACCGGGGGAAGCAGTTTACATGAAAAAAAGAGAAGGAACTTACACGGCAGCATCAGCTTCCTATGGGCCTTTAAAGTTCGCATAAATCAAGGCATCAGCACAGAGCCACGGTCACATCACACGTGCGGCTCGTTTCCTACTCCGCTTTTGGCTGCAGTGCTTTTGATCCTGCCATCGGTCGATCTGTTTAATGTGTTAATTGCAAACTCCTCTGGTCTCCATCCAACGTTTCTTCTGTTTATTGGTGCCTGGCATGAGAAAAATGCAAATAGGGTGACCGAGTTATTTTGCCTTACACATATCGTCGAGCCTTCATCCCGTCTGCTTGGAGAAGCCACCAACGTCTGGGCCTCAGGACTGTGATATTGCTCCGAAGGTGTCAGGCCCTAGGCAGGATGGACAAACCACACAGCTGCATTGCAGTAGTGCAGAAACCCAGCATTTCTTGCTCCTGGCTTTCTCCGTCCAACATCCGCAGGTTAAACCCTGCCCACACACCCAAGGCATTTAAAGGGTGCACTGAAGGCACCCCATTGCCAGCGCACTGCGTGGGCTCAGCACGGTGACTGCAGCACAACCACAACAGGACTCCTGCAAGTGGCAGTGAAAATTCAACCCCATGGCTTTCTGTGCTGGGATTTGCAAACTGAAGTGGTTCATTTACTCTCTTGATTAACTCTAACAAGGTGTTGTGGGCCTAAAATCAAACTTTAAGACTGGAGAAGATATCAATACAACTTCAGGGTACCTGCGTGATGCTGCTGCTGGGGGGAGCGAGGAGGGTCAGGTTCCGTGCCAAAATTAGTATTTACCCTCATCTAGTAGAAACCCTATTTATTATAATATCTGCCTGGCTTCCCACACAGCAGCTCTCACCAACTGATAAATGGTCAGGTTTCAGGCATAAAAGACAAATTGAAAGGAGGCGAGGAGCAAAAGAAATCACAGGCTGAAGGCCTGTGGCCATTGCAGAGGTCATGGGCAGGGTGGGGAGCTGGGTACTGTATGAAGTGATTTATCAGAGGGAAAAAGAAAACGCAGAGAAAAGCTTCAGCTGATCAGCGCTAGGGAAGCCGGGCTGCAATGGGCGGCACATGCAGGAGCAGGGAAGAGAGCACACAAAGACAAACCCACAGAGAAGCAAACTTAGCAGAGGACAGGGCTATGGCACATCATTTGTCATCAGGAGACACTGGCAGAGCGGGGAGGAAGGCAATCTCTGAGCAGCTTTATTTATCTGGTGGGACTCTGACTTCCAAGCTGTGCTGGAGCCAAAGCAAAGTGACTTGCTCTGAGCCTGCAGGGCAGCACCAGAACTTTTGCCTTTCCTGTTCCCAGAGGAAAAAGCAGCCAGGGAAAGGCTCCTCATGCACCAAGCAGTAAGAAAGTCTCCATTCAGTAGGTAGGAAGCCTCACTTGTGATGTGAGAGGGATCCAAGGCTCATAGAGGAATTAGGAGCTGGGCACTCCGGCCTCCTGGTGCAGTTTCCCTGCTGCAAGGTGGCCCGTGTCCCCCAGCACTTGTCATTTTCTTACATGGCTCACAGGGCAGTGCAGCAAATCCTAGACTCTCTAACATCTCTTCTAACAGAGCCTCTCTTCAGTTACTGCATTAGGTTCCTCCTTGCTAATAACCGTTCTGAAGCCTTTGAGCTGTACTTACAGCAAGCAGTTTGCACGGGGAGCTGAAGTGCTTTGTTCAGAGATGCTGAACCAAAGAGGCATTTTAAGGAGTACATCTGGCAGCAGGGTTTGCATAGCCAGGTGATTATTGTCCAGGAGAGTATCGAATTAATTTCACCCCCCTCGCTTCATCGTAGTACTTGAGCTGAAGCAGTAATAGAGAAAAATCTCATCAACTAACCACTAGCCACCAGAGTAATTTGTCTGCTATTGCAGTGTGATTTAACAGGTTGGAAAAGCAGGTATGGGAGGGTACAGCCCAGGGACATGCTGTGTCCCTGCGCCCAGCAGCCCCATCTGCCAGCGATGGAGCCTTATGCAAGGAGCAGAGTGCTTTGCTTTGCTGCCATTTCCACCCTGAATAAGGATTACAAGTCTGTTGTACATCGCAACACCCAAATTACCTTACTGAAATGTGTGACAAATAATTGATGTCAAATTAAACCAAAGTGACAATTAAAAAAAAAAAAGATTCAGAGCAGTAGCACTCATCAGGCTGCTGCTCAGAAAGGTTTCAGCAGAGTTTACTCCTAGCAGCCCTGGTGCAGGATGCTGTTCCCCAAGAGTCAGTGCTGCTGGCAGGAGAGGGAAGTCCTTCTCTGGGACCTGTGGGACAGGGAGAAAAGAAGATTTTTTTTTTTTTTTAAAACAAACAAACAAACAAACAAACCACAAACATTCAGTTCTGCACTCAGCTTCCGAACCCTAAAGTCTGCAGACTTAGCATCAGCCTGCCACAAAATGGGAAGGGGCTTAACATCTACCAGGAAATTCATACAGGCAGTTGCACCCACATTTGCCTTGGAAAACAGGTTTGTCCTTACTCCACCTGCCAACATTTGCATCCTCTACACCAGCAAGAGCCACAGCTGCACTGCAGAGCACCTTGAAATTCATGGCTGATGTTGCTGGCAAACCACAAGATGAGGCCCTCCCCACCTCCCAGCCAGTTCTGCCAGCCACAAGCCCAACCCTGCCCAAATCATGCAGAAGCTGTGAGAAGGAGCTGCACACCAAGCCATAAATCCTAGCTGCCCTCTCTCCTACTTAATATCAAGTGACATAAATGCCCCCAAGCATCTGTACAGCTGCTTCGCTGATCATATACATAAATAACAAACAATCTCATCTGAGCCCCTTAAACAGCAGAAGCGAGTGCTGGGGTCCCAGCTAGACTGGCAGGAGTGACTCAGGGTGAATTCTGATCGAAGCTGGCTGTTAGCAGATACAATTAAGATGCCGCTTCAGTTTAAAGATGAATTGGCTGTGCAGCACAAATTGCGAGTGCTTACTGCTTGCACGCTGCGGCAGGTAATCAGGGGCCGGGGCTGTGATTGTGGTGCCTCATGTTCTGCTCCTGTCAGAGCACAAAACGTGAGATTCAATTTAACAAACAATTTGCCACGCGGCTCGTTCCTGCTGGGTGGGAAAGCAGAGCTTGCTGGCAAGGATCCCTTCAAGCTTCGCTCCTGTTTAAATCCGTTACAGGCAAAAGTGGCACTTCTTTAACCTTTGCACTGAGGCAGAAAAGAAAAGTAGAAACCAAGGAGCATTGCTGAGCGTGTTTTGAGAACATCTCAGGCTTCATCCAGAGTAGGTGGAAATCAGTGGAGAGTCATTCTTGTTTTGATGCCTTCTGGGTTGTTGTGAGCTTCAGAGAAGCCAGAGGGCAGCAGGGCCAGCATGTTAGGACAGCAAACGTTGATGTGTGCAAAGCAGAGGAGACCTATATGTGCTGGGAATTGTTATCCCTCTGCAGGACTGCCAAGCTGGAGACAACTGGGTGGTCCCCAAGCCAAATGCCCATCCCTATTAAAGGAGGGAAGGCTGAAGTAAGGAAGAAGCTACATACGGATTTAATACCTCCTCATCAGTCCACCCGTCCTGCTGCAATGAAGGGAGCACTGGGACGCTCACGAGGCAGGTCTCAAGGTGCTGGTTTTCCTGTGGTGAGGAAACACATGTGAACTCCATGCAAAGGTCTGGTTATTGCACTGGCTTTGCTTCCTTGGGTGTTGGAGGCAAGTGCTCTGCTAGGGAATTAATCTTGTTATGGTGAAATGCTAGAGATACAGTAATTTTAATGGGCATTTTACTGTCAACAGTTGCACATCTGTTGAGTGCTAAATTAGAAACCAAGAGAACATATTTCAGTTTTGTATGAGCAAGAGAAAGCCCTGTGAAGTACTAAATGCAACACACTCTGTGCCCCGGTCTGCCTTTACTTCCTGGGTCTTCTCGTGCTCTCTTCCAGCCAGCTGTCAGGGGGACCTGAGGGGCTGGCATTTAAAGGACTCCAAAAGATAGTGCCAGGGATTTCCTAGGCTAGGCACTGCCCTTTCATCTCTTCTGTCACCCTGTTTGGGACCCATCCTTGAGTGCAGCCACTGCCTCTAAGTTCACAGCCCAGACTCAGCTCCTCCAACACATCCAGCTCCATGGACACATCACCACCACTCCTCACACAGCTCCCTGCTTCGTTGTTGTTAATAACTCATAATCAACCAGGTCACAAACTTATTCAAAAACCCAGGTCTCAGGAATACGATTGTTTCCTTAGGCTAGAAACATGGCAGGATGTACTTCAGGAGCTCAGAGCCTACCAGTAGAACCAGTTGCTATTGTTGCTTCTTCAGGATGAAGACACCTGCACCATCTTTTCAGTCAAAATGGAGGACAAGGCAAGTTGTCCTCTGGTTGCCAGTCGGATTTGGCTCAGGTAACGAGAACACAGCCTGTCACAGGCAGGTCTCCCTTCTCTCATCAAATTGCCTTTATGAGTTGTTGTCTCTCCTCCTGCAACAATGCAGCAACCAAAAAACATCAAAAAGCATGGGGGAATGTTTAGCGGTTGGTAAGTGGACAGGCTTCAGAAACCTTAGAGCTAAAAAACATGATGAAGCAAAGAAGTCCCTTTCCTTCAGAGAAAATATTTTCTCTCCTGCAAGCATGACACAGGACTCAGCATCAGCTTGATCCTGTTCATGACTCCTCATCAGCCCTGGTAAAGCCCTGAGGAGAGTTTCTAAGCAGCCAGCAGCAAGATTTGATGGGGGCTTTATTCAGGCACGACTCAAAGAGGAGAACAGCTCATCTCATTAGATGAGAATTCAGTGTTTTGGGCAGAGGCAGGCTGTCAGTGCCAAGAGCTGCATGTGCTGGCAAAGCGAGAAACAGAAGCACAAACAAATGCTTCATAATTTTTACGTCAGCGGTGCTGGAGACTCAGGGAGCAGAAGGGAAAAGAAAAACACTTTTCCTTAAAGGGAATAACTTGCACATTTGTGAATGCTCCTCTCCAAAACCCGCTGCTACCTACCAGCCTTAAAGAACTTGCCCTTGCTCAAACGGCTTGCAGGAGACTAAGCACTGGCCAAGATGCAACGTCCATCATAGGGATACATTTAGAGGCAAGACGATGCCTTTGTGTTAATTGCATCATTAAGTTTAGCTTGTTGGTTCCTGGTTAATGCCCTCCCCTGAAGTGGCATAGCAGGCTTTGGAACAGGACTGAACTCAATACAAAGTTTTTCTTCCCCCTCTCAGCTGGGAGCAGCTTATCTTATTCTTCCAGACAAGGAGAAGACTCACAGGTTTCTGTTTAGAGGAACAGTGACTGAACAGTAAAGCAGTGTTTAGATCTGTTGCAGTGCATTTATTGAATGTGAATCTTTTTGGCTGGTCAGAAGGGAGTTCCAGGTGTGCTAAGTTTAATGTGAAGGCTGCACCTCGATATGAATCTATGGCTCCCACAACACAAGCCCTGTGTACAAGGGTCATGGCAGGAGCTGCTGCTGGAGCTACTTAGCAAGTAGACAAGCAAAGGAAGGCACATATTTGGTTTGTAAGCCCTGTCCACACCCTCACGTCAGGGTTTGCTCCCTGGCTGCACCTTGAGAGCTAGGAGCTTAGGTCAGTGTGGAGGAAAGGGACAGATATAGCAATTCATTGTCTGCCCTTCAGGCTGCCCCAGGCATCTAATACAGGTGCTGATTAGAAGAAACAGGTACATGCGTCCCAGGAGATGCTCACCTTTGATGGCCCAAGTCAGCTAGAGATAGACAGTGCAAATATTTTTCTCTTCAGACAAACGGATCATGCCAGCAGCTCTGCTGTTAGCTGGGCAGAGAAATCAGGCAAAGAGAGATCAAGTACCTCACCCTGCAAGTGTCTGCATGAACACTTACTGTCTAAGCACTCCCACCAGGTTCAGCACAACTGTAGGTATCATACAGCAAAGAGGGCAACTCCCTAGCCTGCTGTCTATCTGAGAATAGATAGAGGCAAACAGAGATCCTTATCCCCCACCTGAGGCACCCCCCAGACATAAACACCACCACCCTCACCCCATCATTTTCAGTCATACAACTTTCTGTTGGAGCTTTCTGCCCCTCCAGCTTTAACACCCAGGTTACACACATCTCCTGAGCAACCTCTCCACTTATCTCAGGCCCCTGACACAGCAACCAACACTCTCTGATCTAAACCATCAGCCCTACTGCCACAGAGGGAACAGCTTTGGAAGAAAAGAAACAAAGCTTACCCTTTGCTGCGAGGATCGATGCTCCTAGCCTCAGGGAGAAGTGGATTTTGCTGGCCAGACACACAGAAGATGAAAACACACCCCTGCTACCCTTCTCTGCCAGACAAGCTCTGCACTTAAGACAACACAAGGCAGCAGCCTACAAGGAGCCACCATGAATCTCCTGGGGGAGATTGCTCCCTCCAGCATCCGTGGACTCTGCCAGGAAGGCACCATACTCTTCCCTCTCAGCAAAAACCTGCAAATACCCCAGCCCTTCACCTGGGGCCACTTTAGCCACCTAATAAGGCAGATTGGGCAGCCCTGGGGTCATCTCCAGCTCTCCCCAGCCTTTGGCCAGCTGTTGGGTGGGTAGGAATAGATACTTGTGCAGCCTTGAAAGGTCACACTGCTGATCAACCACCCTGGCTGGAAACATTGAGTGACCTCCCTGAGGACACATCCACCTGTGCTGCCCCTTCATGACATGTGGAGGCACGGGGGGTCCCCCACTGAGTCTCCAAAAGGCTTTTGAGATGTACTGAAAATGAAGTTTGTACCCTGGTTGTAGCTGATGAAAAGCACTCCCTGGGTCAAGCTGCTGGAGTTTCTGGTGCCATGGAGATGGCAGAAGAGCCCCGTCCAAGTGCCGTTCATTGCTTGTATCTGTTTGGGGCAGGGACAGAGTGATAGAGGAAGTGCTATCTACAAATGGCTGTATTTGGAAACAAATGCATATGTTACCGCACTAAATTAACTCAGCTAAGGAGATGGAAATTAGATCATTTAAAAGCAGAAAGCTCTCCCATATTGTTTCAGCAGAATCATCTTTTTTATATAGCCAGGCAAGGGGCTCGTTCTGGGGGAAAACAAACACATCTTTTATGATTATGGCCATTCAAAGCTGTTTCTTATACTCTAAATTGTCTAACATGAAGGATCAATGGTGTCCTCGGATGATGATTTAATTAAAAACTCCTCCTTTCTTCAAGTTGAGATCTGCAAAAATGCTCTGAATGGCTGATGGACGACTTGCCATTACCTTGCCATCTTTCTTTTTAATATTTTTTTTTCCCCAGGATTTTAATTGCTGCCATTTGAGCATTATTGATTAACTGTAATTGTTCCTTTTCCCATAGTTATCTCCAGCTATGTGGCCTGTGCAAGGGATTAAAGTGGAATGCTTCAGAACTGCAATGGTTTTTCTTGTCTGTTAATGAAAATGCAGATAGCTTGAGTACGTGCGTGTGCGTGTGTACATCTCTTATGCCTTGACCCTTCATAGGTTTGAACTTGAAAGTGGATCAGCCTGTAACTTTTTTCCCCTTAAAGAAAGCACACCAAAAGCACTGAAAACTCCTTTTATAGTCCAGTTTCTATTCAAGAGAAACTTGAACAATAAAGTCCTTACAGCACAGGAAACTCCTGAGTTTGCAGAGGAATAAACACTCCCCTTGCCTTCAGTAGTTCCCAGGGTGGACCCTTTTCCTTCACCTTGCCTTCACTCCAGCAGTCCTGTGGCTTTTCTGCACTGCAAATGATCAACCTGTCTTCCATGCCTGTTCCTTTGTGTTTCTGGTGCATTATGGGACAAAGCCACTCCTAACTGGAAGTTTAAGGTTTTGTGTTAATTTTAGTCTGAGGATCATGATCTCAGACTACAGTATTGTTGGGAGGCAGTGAATGATGCTGTTAGAGTGTGTCTGACATGTCTGGGGCACCTAAGTACAGAGACAAACCCAAAAAACACACAAACCCTGCATCATTGATACCAGAGCAGTTGTTTTAAAAAGGTGATCATAAGTTAAGTGGGAGTTCATTACCAGAATCTGTCTGCCTAGAAATAACTTTCAGATACTGAGCAGCTGCCCAAAAGACCGAAATAAAAAAAAGTTATGAAATATAGTGCTATAAACTTGAGAAATTCTTACCTTTATTTATTTATTTATTTATTTTGCCCATGGATGCCTGTGCTCTGGTGCTGCCCTGCATCACATCAGGGAAAACAGCACCATACCCAGCTCTGCTCCACCCCAGCCACTGCCAACAACTACCACTGTGCTATGGGAAATCCCGCTCGGCCACAGCCCATGAGAGCATCCTGCAGCCCAGGAGAACTGGAGACAAAACATCTCAGTGGTCAGAGGATGCAGGAGCTTCAGCAGAACCCTTGCACCCTGTGATGGGCTCACTAGCCCAGCAAAACTTTCCATGGTATCACCAGGTATGACCAGGCAGGCAGATTTGCAAAGGACACTGCTGAAAATGGAAATTAAAGTGCGGCAGTTGGCAGGGAGGTATATGAAGGGAATTATGGATTTCTGATCTGGTTTGAGAAGACAGCTCGGGTAGGCAGCTAATTGGGAGCCTAGGGAAACAGCTTCCCAAGCTGCATGCAGCAAGCAGCTCAAGGAGAAGGGAGCTACAGGTTTTCTGCATGAGCAAGCTGACTGGTAGATTGAGTATGGTATTGACGGTACATGCATTTTATCACCAAATTATATAAAAATAAATACAGCAGAGGAAAAGAATATCTAAGTTTTATCAAGCTTTCTGTGACTTTTTTACTCGTCTAGGAATTTTTTTTTTTATCCTATTATGCAGGGAGAGGCAGCACAGGTGGGAATGCTTTCACTTAAATAAATGCTGCTAGGGTGAACCAGCTCCATGTCCTGTATCTTGTTCAAATTAAATACTGACAGCTATTTAGTAAAAATGATGGTCAGGACATCTACTTCCATTTTTTTTGAATATGCATGAAAACAAGTTTTGCAGTTCCGTATTTTGAAGAAAAGGCATTTCTTCTGTACAAAAACAAAAACAAACAACAACAACAACAAAAAACATAGTTTCATCATTAAATTACTGGGGTGACTTTTGTTATTAAGTCTCTGCTCTTCAGACAACAGCAGAGGTTCTTGAGGCTCATGCTGGGAATTTATGCAGCCTTCACCTTTCAGTTCTGTGGTCTCACAAAGCAACACCAACCCCAAAAGAAGGAAAAAAAAAACACACACATATAATAAAAGTAAACAAGAAGTTCTCTGGGTACAGAAGACAACATAAAGAGTTGGACCATCCAGTGGCACATGGTTATCCACTGTGAGCCATGCATGCATTTAAGGACTTGGGGGCCTTGAAGAATTAAGAAGGGGAAGATGTCACTTCCTTTGACAATAAAACAACATTTGGAAAGTTGTTGCAAAGCAAAACTTGGCATAGAAATTGAGGGGTGAAGAATTATTTGGAAGGAAGCAATAAAGGAATTCAGAGATTAATTCCATCTTGAAGATTTACCACAGAAATTATTTCTGGGATAAGAGGAAGCTTCTTGCAGTGCTTTGGCAAGTCCCTGTTTTTCTTGTTGTCATCAAAATATGTTTTTTGTTGTTGTTGATGTTGTTGATGTTGTTTGTTTTTTATGTGATTTGATGAAATTAACAGTAGAAATTTTTCAAAAACATTTTATATATCTTAATAAAGAACATTTCCACTAACTCAAAACATCAGCCTAAACCCTTCTCTTTTGTAAGGCAATTGTGATTTTATTTTTGGCTTTAATCAGACAGGAGTTGGGCTGATGGCGAAGTGCCTAGACAGAGCACAGGCATATTATGAGCATATATTTGTGGACAGTAGAAGAGAAAATTCACTCTTACAACTGCCATTAGGGACTAGAGCTGATCCCACAAGCAGGGACAAGAAGGGGCTTGCTCCCATTATCTCAATGTGCCCCAATTAGGGGCCAAGAGTGATACAGAGTACTTACACTGGAAAGCTGACTATATTAGGCAGGTATCTAAGTCTGATGTATGCATTTAGATGGTGTGAATACTCAACTGAGAGTGAAACCTGTCCCTGGTGTAACGCAGTTAAGGCACGCATTTGACCACGAGAATAAGCAATTTGGAGGCGTTTTCACTGCTACCTGAAATAATACTCCAAACTCCTCATGCAGTGAATTGTTTCCCCAGTTATCATGGAATAAAAGCTTCTTTTTGTGAAGGGAGAGCAGGCGGCCGGCAGCCGCTAGGTGGGATGACAGCCTTGTGGGCTGTGTGGCTGGGAGATAACCGCAACACACCGCCTGCGCGCAGCCTTTGGCCAGCGTCGCTTGGAAGGGATCGGCAAGTAAACTACCATGCTACATATTAAACCTGCCACAGCCGTGGTCGTGGAGCAGATTTAGGAAACGACAAAATCTCTTTAAATATTCATGAATGCTCTCTGTAATTGCTCTGCTCACATTCAAGTGTTTTTATAACTTGACTATTGCATGGTTCCATAATTGAACTTGCCACATTTGCGAACGACCTAACAGGGTTGTTTCAGTGCTCTTCGCAGGAGCTGTAACACTGTAGTAAAGCAAATGGGGAAAAAAATGTTGAAATCAAAGGGTCTGGATTAATTTGCATCAGAAAGAATTTGACCTGAAGATTTCTGTGCTGTGTTTTATGACACAAGAAAAAAAGTGATAATTCCAGTTTAATATTTACAAGACATCTTTCATGCATCTTTTAACAGCGTTGTTTATAAAAAATGCATTAACAGTTCTGTTTTGCTTCAGGCAGGGCCATCCTTTACAGGATAGGCAGCTTGATTTGGATCTTAATGATGACAATGCTCCACCTGTGTTCATAAATTAATGCATCTGGTATACGAGCTCCTGGGGAATATGCGAGAATGGGAGCTTGGCCTTTGCACATGAGGAGAAAGCTCTTGCTCTATTTTACAGTTCCAAGCAGCTCTGAAAGCTCCCAAACAGCAGTTGACTTCTCTCCTGCTCTAAGTAGGAACATAGAAAATAAAAAAGACTCAATAATCCCCATCACCACCCATAGAAATTTGTTTATAGGTGTGCTTTTGTCTCTCTAGTTTCTCCATTTGCAATTGTTGCATTTCTGTTGTTTATGTTTGTTTTCATAGGAGCATGTCTCTTAAAAGAAGTCAGGGATTTAGTCATCCTAAACCCACCTCCATCCCAAACGATCAGTCACCATCATGTCTCTCTCAGAAGCCAGTATGGCACTGCAAACATTTATAGGTTTCTCTAAAAAGTCCCTCTGGGCAATACAGGGAGACTTGAACATGACAGAAAGTGATTTCCACAAGTTAACAATTTAGGAATAATTTGGGCATGTGTATGTAATATGTACATATATGTATATACTCTATTTCCAAAATGGTGAAGATGCTCATTTCACAGGAGGGAGGAGGCTGAAAATGCCTCCTATGTGAGTTAAGGATCAGAAACTGGTAATCCTTAAGAAAAAGCAGAACTGAAATATTAACAAACACCAGGGAATTCTCAAGCTGCTCTTGCAATACCAAGACACACAAGCAGTCACACAAAGTTTTGTTCCATAAAAGCAGTCTGATGATGTAGGGTTTCTTAAGAAGTTAGGCTGCTGTAAATAGACCAATCTTAACCTAAAGAAATTAGTGTGGGAAAATATTTTTGTGTGTCATAGCACTGATTTCTCTTCCAATAAGAGCCTCACTTGCCGGTGAAACCATAATAAAGAAGATTATGGAGCAACATAGAAAGAGTTTTCTAGATGATCAAATTTACCTTCCAGTCTGTGGAAGAAAGAATTTGATTTTGTAGCATTTTCAAAATAATTTAGCATTACAAAACTAAATCAGAATGATTATGATATATAAAGTAATAAAGACGAGAGACACACACAGATCCTGAATTGCCAGTGTCCTAGCTAGAAAACAACCATATATTAAGAGTTTTCAGCCTAAACAACCATGACGAGCAAAAGTGCAACAGGAAGGAATCATCATAAGATTTCGGAAGCTGCTACTGGTCCTGGCTGCCAAAATTTCTTACTTTTAACAATTAGGCATTGTAAGGCAGTTTGTGCTTTGGAAAGTACCAACTCTGTGTCCATTATGCCATAAGTCAGGCTCTGCTAAAAATAGCAATCAGCAAGGAAAATAGATGAAACTGTTTTATTTTATGGTGCTGTTTTTACAAATAGGACATAACTGTACATACACCCCACACCGTGCTTTAGAAAGTCCTTTGCCCCCATAAATTTCTAGCAGAGTCTGGCTCCAGAGTCATGTGGACTTATAAATGATAAAAATAATAAAAGCTGAAGTTGTTGCTGAGCAATGGACACAACTCATCCTCTCTGTGTCTTTTCCCAGCCTCTCCTCCTCAGGACTTCTTTTCCTCCATCCATGGTGCACATCATTTTCTTAAGAGAGCACTCAAGGTGCTCAGGACAAAAGCTCAGGATTTATTTTGTTTCAGGAAATCTAACCACAAGTGTGGCAGCAGGACCCCTTGACAGACTGAGAAGGGACTTGTCCCAGGTCTCAGAGGAAGTCAGCTTCTGCTGTGTGGCCTCGGCCCTCAGTTTTGGCACCGTGCTTCCACTCCAAGGGCATCTGTTCCTCTGTGGTCACCAAAAGAGATGTCAGTCACGCAGCCAAAGGACAGAGGAGGACTATGGGGATGAGCCCTCTAGAGTGACATGGTTTCATGCTGTTTCTTTAATTTTTTGTCTGGCAAGTGAAATATATTTCACCAGAAGGTGGGAAAGGACTTGGAACAAAATTGATCTTGGCTGAGCAAACATTTGACAATGTTCTGTGGGAAACAACCATCTGTCTTGGGAGATATCAACTCCAGGAGATATTGATGGCACTAAAAATATCCTCCTTAATCCACAGTCCCAAAGCATTTAGTTCTTAGGCATAGAAAACCTCAATTCTTCAGGAGTAAACCTTTGTATTTATTTTTATTTTTGGAGTGCTGACTTCCCAGGTGTGCAGTGAAAGCCTTTGGTTTGTTCAAGATGCAGCCATGCATGTGTTGGCACCTGGGCTGAGTGGAAACTACAGAGGAGCTGTAGAGAGATAATTAATATGGATTAAATGGGGAAAAGGGCTTTGTGCTCTGCTTCACAAGTACAGATCGTGCACAGAGATGGATGTCTCTATCTCCAAAGAGCTTTTTGGAGCAGTTTGGCAGGCTGGTTTCTTCTGAGAAGCATGAGAAGAAAGGGGGGAAAACCTTTGAAAGAAACTTTAAAAATACAACACAGGTTAAAAATAGATCTTTATTTCTCAGTGACAGAGGTTAATGTATGTTTGGAAACTGAGAAGCATTGCACCTTCCATGTGTGGGTAAGATCAAGAATGTCCAAAGTTTTTCTAGGGAGATAGAAAGATGGGGAAGCTTAAATTCCCTGCTAGATGCTCTGTGCTGTTGTTGGCAGATCCAGTCTCATACCTGTGCTTTGCTGGCCTCCTGCCTTCCAGGCAGGTACTGCTCCGTGGACTTTGGAAATAAGTCATAAATAGTTTTCACCACTAACTAGAACCTTACTGTGAGTTCCTCTTCAGAAAAGGCAGTCTCTTGGCCATCAGGGGGATATCAGAGACCAGAGAACCAGAGGCAAAAGCCTTAACCTCTTGTCCCATACCTGCTCCATGGTCTCGTGCTCTCTCCAGCTGCAGCTAGCACAGATTCCCTGCCAGAGCTGTGCTAACATCCACGTCTTCCTGCAAACAGCTTTGGCGGCAGTCACAGCAAGATACTTCCCTGGGAACAATTTACATTTGCCTCTTTTGAGCCCTACCCAACCACTCCTCCACTTGCTGTCATGATCGTTAGATTCACTCTCATCTTTCTGTTGTTTTCCCTTTTCAGGCAGGGTTTTTGTTTGTTTGAGATTGCTTTATGGTGGTTGCCCAGGAGAGCCAATAACAAGAGCCATACACTTGTGCTGAGAGCGAGCATAAATGATGCTTCCTGGGGCTGTCCTCCAAGAAACCCCAGAGCTGGATGCACTTTCTGTGTTTAGTCTCTGCTAAAGACGACTTCTTTTCCATTGCCAGAGTGAAAATCCTAGGGTAGCCCACGCTGCTTACCTTACAGAAGTATGACCAGCAAAGCCAAATGTCCCTGATCAAAATGCAAGGACATGAAAAAGGGCAGGCTTATCAGAGCATGGTGAAGGTGGCTAACATAAGCCAGATTGACAAATAACAACAATATAATAGTAATAAATGTTGAAGGTCTATATCCCAGCCTTCCTCAAAAGCTGACTCAGATGATATAAAAAAATAAGAGTATTAATAAAATTAAAAATAATGAGATAACTGAAGAGACAGATAAAAGAAGTACAGTGACTACTTCATCCAGGCTATCTCAGGTGGATAAAGTAAAAGGGGTGACATAGCAGCACAAGGTGCTTTACAGGACAGGTTTTACAGAAAAGGATAATGCTGTAGTCGAGGAAGAAAACATGAAAAAAGCTTTAGAAAACAAGAGTTCTGTAGTCCTGGATTAGTAAATACTATGTGTGTGGGGAGGTGAAGGGCACAGAGGTTTACTGGACAACTGTAGCAGACCAGAGCATTGGGGGAGCCACGAATTTACTGGATTAGAATTAGAAAAAAAAAGTCAAAACACCTGAAAGAGAAGGGCAAGCAGGAGAAGGGATTTCTGCCTACACATACAGGGAGAGAAGGAGCCAAGACAGAAGGCTGATAGGATGCATACTACTTTAATGATTTTTTTTTTTTTTAAAGTTGGGTTCGTTTGCATGACAGCTCTGAAATAGGATAAAGTACAGAGAAGGGCAATGCTGCATAATGCGAACGAGAAGAGGGAACTGTTCAGCTTTTTCATTTAAATGCATGAAAATCTCTGCGAGGTCTGTGTGCATGCGTGGGGGAGGGCAGGAATTAAAATTAAAAAAAAAATGTGCTGAAGTAGATGGTGACTCTGGTGAGAGAACAAGCTCAAACAGGAGGCTCAGAAGCACTGCTGAAATTATGGACTGTGCTAGTGGTCCCAGTCTGTGTTTCAGGAAGCTGAGTGGGGCACTGATTTAATAAATACATCAGCAAGACAGAATTTAACATCACAAAGCCCTTGGTGGCACTTCAGAAACATACCTCTGTGGTCACAGGGACCTGTCTGTCTGGACAGGATGGATGTCATTGATGCGGTGTGGATCTGCCCAGCCACCAGGAGCTCCTGAATGCAGCAAAGCAGGTGTCCATGGAGCTGGATGTGCCAAACTGCCCCTGCAAGAGTCCTTGTGTAGACCATGTTGATCCCTGCTTTCCTGACATGGCCTTACAGGGACAGAAAAGACAGATTCAGGCCATGAGATATCTGTGGAGGGGGCAGGCTCCCTGAAGCTAAGGGACTTGCAGGTTTGGCACTGGGAGAAAGGAGCACATGCCTTGCTCCCTGCTCAGCAGTGGCATGGGACCTCAGCCTGTCACACACCGCCAGGAATGGCTGCCACCCGCTTCTGGTGGCCTTCCCCCATGCTTCATCAAGCAGGGGCCATCCGTGTGCTAGGGCAGCCTTTGAGGGCAATGAGCAAGAAGAAAACACTTGAGAGGCACGGAATTGCTGCTCAAGGTCAGAGGACATGGGTGGTGCCTTACCAACGGGAAGCCTTGCTGGCTTCGTATCGTCCTTACCAGATGTCCCAACCCAGGCAGGCACAGCGCCCTTTTAGCATCTGAGGGAAGGTCATACCTCACACATAACAGGCTGGCCTGAAACCTAATGAAATAGAAATTGGGCCACGATGAGTAACAACTGATGACTCCAGATCAAGCCTCTTACCCTCAGCCCTCCAAAACCCCAACCCGGATGAGACCAATTAATGTAAAAATAAAATGCACGTGGTCAGTAATAATACACGCATTTCAGCTCTCTTGTGCAAGTCAAAAGATTTCTGCCACATCAAATATCTGTGCACTCTGTGTTCAATAATGATTTATTTATGTGTGGCTACCATGCACCCTGAAACACATAGCTTTCTAATTAACTCATAGCCACCTGGAATAGTAATTAGCACAATCTGGAGCAAACCCATAAGACTGGTCATGGGATGTACATGCTTGTATCACTGAAAATAGTCAGCCTGGGTGAGTTTAAATGAGAAAATGTGTTTCAATTGCATGCCAAGAGGCTACCCGATGCTAATTACAGGTCTGAAAATTGGGCTCTAGTTGTGCAGGGAGGTGTCAGCTCCAGGTCCCTGGCCTTCAAATTTGTTCAGCAGAGGATATGTCTTTCAATATTGAATTGAAGTGTTGGAGCAAGAGAAAGTGCTGGAAGTTTTTATCCAATGGCAACATTACTGCCCTGTGATGGCCCTCAATACCAAGTTCTCCTTGACTTGGAGAACTACAGATCTGCATGGGACCATCACACAACAACCATGGCAAATAGTTAAATTGGGGTAGAAGACTTCATACCCTGAGTGCATGTGCAAAAAGGGCAGCTAAGTTGATAGCAAGCTTTCTGCTATTGCAGCTGCTTTGTTTGAGACTCCTGGTATTTTGATACTTACACCTTGCTATTATGCTGCCACAAAGCCTTGTAATGGCTGGGCACTGCTTATGCAGCTCCATGCTCTTCATTTGCTGCTGATCAGTAAATTTAGTCCTGCTGGAAATGTGGAGGCAGGCTACGAAGGCTGAACTGTTTTCCTGTCAGTGTTTAAGTTCCTTCATACCTACTGAAGGGCTTTGCCTAAAATCAGTGACAGCCTACCCCCTCCCATGCCTATTCGTCATAAATGTGTGAAAACAGAACCCAGCATAGTTAGTAATTATCTCTTCATTATGCCAATGTGCTTCTGAAAGCATAATCATGATCAAAAGACACATGTGATTCTGCTCTTACCATTTTGTTTGCAAGTTTCAGCTTTTTTTTTTCCCTTCTGTTAATAAGTATTAAAAAAAAAAAAAGAAACAACAAAAAGAGCTTTTGAAGGCTGTGTCTGTCCTCGCACTAGTGACAAAATCCCCCCTGACCTGAGGACTCAGACTCTGAAGCAGTGAATTGCAGCAGAAATAACAGGCACATGACAATGCTGTTGAGAAGGGCACATCAGAAGTACCTAAAGCTCCAAGAGACTCTGAAAGATAATTTGGTGCCCACTGCAGGTGGTTCCAAATTTGCACTTCATCAGGGGTGAATTTTGATTGAGATTAGTTAACCAGCAATTTCCTTTCTCAATGGCTTTTAACCATTTTTTGTTTCCAGTGCAGTCTCGGAAGCTCTTTGATACACACTCAAACATTTTGGAGAGGCAGAAGGAGTCAGTCCAAAGTTTAAGTTCAAGCTCAGCGTGTGTCCTCCAGCTGGAAATTGTAAAGCATCGCTGGAGACATCTAGCTGACCCTGAGCTGGAAGGCAGCAAACAAGAGGGCACCTTTCCTGCTCCCTACAGAGCATACCAACAAGAGCCACTCTCGATTCACGGTTTACATCCCCTGTAAACAAACCCCTTCTTACTGATCTTATGATAGGTTTGATATACCTGTGCCTGCATAGCCTTTATATTCATTCCTGTCTTCCCTCTGCTCCCTGTCTTTTAGGACTGATTGCCTGTGATGGTCTTTATCCTCTTGCTGCCGATCCAGAAGTGTTCCCATTCTTTCTCACAATTGTGCTGACAGTTGTCTGTCCTATCATCACCAGATATTCATTATGTGATTTTTGAGAAATACATACAACTTTAAAAGTTTATCCTGGAAATAAATTTGCTTTGGATATTGCACAGAAGGTTTAGGAATCTAGGAGCTCCCAGTGTAGGAACTGCTTTACATTATACACTAACTTTTTGTCAGAACTGATCAGAAAATGCCCATTTGAGCTAGTTATTCCATAACCAGTGTGTACTGGCAGAACAAAGGGTGCTCATAATTTGTGTTCAGCTTGCTTACTAAGGCAGCACTGGATTTAAGAATAGGCCCGGATTAACTTGTGCATTAGGTCATTTTACATGGCAGCAATGCCAGTGGCTGACTGTCACCATCGAGGGACAGAGCCGTGACTTCTGTGTGAAGATGTTGCAGTGGAGCTGAGAGCATCCCTGTGCCAGTGGCTGGAGGACCAATGTGGAGTGAAGATGCACAGCTTAACACCAACTTTATTAAAGCTCCTCATTCCTCTGGCAAATTGATTTGACTTTAGGGACAATTCAACTAGTTGTGCCTCCACCCAGCCTGCTTGGTGGTGTAAAATTCCAGTGTAAAATGAATCTCATCTGAAAGAGCAGCTTTAGTAATGGATAGTGCAGCTCTTTGTAACGAGATCCTCTTATCTCTTTTGACGAGTTAATAAGGAGCAACTGCAATAGTTAGCAACGCAGACAACATGCAGCTACTGACACATGAGCCAGCAGAAGGAGATGGGCTTTACACATCAGAGCTGAAATTTCAGGCTGCAGAAAACTGGTCATCCCCTTCCTACAGAGGGACAAGCAGCACCACTTTTGTACATAGCACAGAGCTCGTCCTTGCCAGCTACCCACACCCACACCACTGCCAGGCCCAGCCCATGGGACAGGGCGAACCTGCTCAGCCCCTACCCTGCTGAATTGCTCAGCTGTGGTGTGTCAGCCAGAAAATCTCCCCTCGGACAGTCACAAACCTCTGCAGGTAAGAATGAAACCAAGCCTAAAGCTCTTGCACAGCTGCTCCTCTGGCACAAACATTCCCAGTGAGGTCAGCAATTCCTGCAGATCAGTCTGAGAACACCAACACCAGCCAGACATCTCCAAACATCTCCATGTACCACTCCAAGCACTTGCACTTAATTCTTCCACCTTGCCTTTTCTCCCTGAAATCCAGAAGAATGCATCTTCATTAGAAATAAAAAATGAATAATTATAGATACATATCAAACCACTCCCTTAAGGAGAAACCTAATGAAAACCACCCACACCACTGCACATGCATTTTCCCGAGAAGGGAGGATGTGAAAACAAACAAAACAAGGCAGATGTGCTGCTGGAAGGTGCCTGGGTTCTATGGCAATGAGAGCCCAGGAGCCTGTAGTGCAGAAGCCAAATACTTCATGATGAGCTTTTCATGGCACACTGTTTTGAAATATTTCAAGGTGATGTGGCACGGAAATTATTTAGGCTAGACTAGATTTTCCAAAGCAAGACAACATGATAAACATTACCCTTCATGATATACAGCTGAAATTATACTACCTGAAAAGGCAATCTTTCACCTGAAGCACTGAGTATCAAAATCATTTGATTTTTTTTTTTTTTCTCCATCAGAACGTGGAGAAGATGAAGCACATTAAAGCAAAATTTCTTCCGATTGAAATACTGGCTGTCTTGCAAGTACAGAATGCTGGAAATCACAAGTTGTCTTCATTTCTCCAATCATTTTGAGTTAACTAAGTAACTACCTAGGCTTGTTTGTAAACTGCAGTGACAGCCTTGCAGTTAAACTCTCAGATGTATTTAAAAGATGTCCTAAGTGACTAAAAAAGGAAAAATAACAACTTTAAAAAAAAAGCTCACAGTTTGTGCGTGTTGCATTATATCATCATTTAACTGTAGGATGTTGGAGTTTGCTTTATCAGGATTTGACAGCATCTACTTGACTAAGCAGTAGCTCAAACACACAAAAAATAAAATGTAATAAAAACATCAAAAATGTCATGCCTGCAAGCTTCAAAGCGGCACAAGGCTCGACGAATTTAACACTTTTTTACTGCAAAAGGAACCGCTTACCCATTGATTCATCTTCTGTTCAGCCAGGATCATGCTGTCAGTACTGCTCAGAGTACTAGAGCATTTTTCTCTGCACAGTTTGGAAAAAAAAAAAAAAAAAAGATATAATAAAAAAACGTCAAGGTCTCTGCTTAAGGCTACAGAGGTACCTTGTGGTCTTTGGAGGAGAGCTCGTTAAAAATGCATCATGCCAGCACGAGAGCAATAGCCTGTACAGAAAAGGTTTACAGGAGCATGGGGCAGCTGAACGAGAGGAGAAATGCAGTGCTATGGTAAGCAGTGATGGATGCAGCTTGGTGCTTCCTTGCTGGTGGCAGTGATTCAAGAACACTGCCACAACTGATGTATGGCTGATCCTTCATCCCAGATGGAACCTTTTTTTTTTTTTTTCCCCCAAGGAGAGGAGTGCCCTAGGAGGTGGGCAATGGCTCATGGTGCCTTTTGCAGTGCCCTAGCAGAGAAATAGAAAAGTATCTCCCCAGCAAACAGAGGGACACAGCTATCCTGCGGTGGCAATGTCCTGAAACCCTGCTGGGAACAGCAGGGGACACGACTGGAGCACGTGTCTGCAGGGGCTTGCAGAACTTGCAGAAACCAGCCCCATCTACTGACATGGTCGGGAGAAAATGATCCTAAAGCAGAAAGACCATATAACTCCCAAATCTCCCCTGTTACGCCAACCTTCCTACCTTAGTGTCATAGCACAATAGATACACTTCAGTACCACTAGCCAGTGATTTTAGAATAACACAAAACTACCAAACCAACAAAAAAAACCGTAATGAAACAAGGTGCCAAAGCCCAACACGTTTAGAAACAATGAGATCCTCAAATTATTAAAATTTGCTCATTCATGCATCTTCTCTTGGAACCCTTAGGGTTTGCATCTTTGCAGGAAGGCAAAGTAATTTTTTTCCCCTCCTTTCTTTTTTTCTTTTACTGAGGAAAGTGTGGCTACTTTCCAAGTCGTATTTCACATAAGACATTCTGGACATCAGCAGTCAGGCATTCTGCATCAGCATTCAGGTTCCTTCTTTGTGTTGAACTTAGGAAGTCAGGGACTCAAGCATCATATAATTTTATGTGAGCTCAGTGGGTGTAGGATTTTACAGAAAGAGATAAAGGGAGCAGGTATAAGCAGTCTAAATTAGAGGAGGCTGTTTTTCTCATGGGCAAATATTAATTCCACAGAGGAGTACTTTTAATAAAACAGTTTTTCTTTTTAAGCAAAGACATTTCTACAAGATTTTTTGAAAAAACAAAACAAAACAAACAAACAAACAAAAAAACACAACCAAAAAACTCACCAAGTATACCTGACAGAATAACTGAGTCTTCCTTCCTTGCCCCTGCCCCTGCCCCCATGAAGGAATTATTTCTAAATTTTTTTGTTCTTGTCACCTCTGTGAGGGTGTTTGAGTTGTTTCTTTCTGTATATTTCAGGTAGCCCAGCAGCACATGTACTATAGTAAATTAATACACAGATGACACAAAGGCTGATGTTTCCACCTATTTTGGGGGATATAGGGGCACATATCACTATATCATTTAGCAGAAATATCTCCTTAACACAGGAGATGCTAAAATAAGCTTTTTGTACCTGTTCTCCACTTTTGATTCCAAACATGCTTCAAGCAGTAAGTTGGCACAGTGAGGACAGATATGTCTGCAGGTGTGTAAAAATACACACATCAGCCTCTCAGTCTTGAATGCATGAACGTAGCTGACAGACTGAGCAGCTCAGTGGGACAGAGAGGATTAACACATCAGGAGCAAAACACAGCAAAACAGCGTTATTTCCCCTACTTCTTCTACCCGTGCTGCCTTCCTGAGTACCGAGTGTATTGCACCAAGTGTCACACACCGTCACGTTTCAGACGTGCTAGCTGATAATTTAGATAAAGACTGAGAGACCCAAGGACAGGCTGGAGCATTATCGGCCCTAACTCTGAGGATGACAGGTTGTTACCACAATTTCCTAAGAGGCTGCAGTTGTGAACTCTTTTTCTTTTGCTGCTTTCACCCCCTACTCTGCAACCTTCAGAAACCGGAGTTTAAGTCTCTTTTAAGTTGATGTGCTACAAAGAAACTGAAAGAAAGCCTCGGGGGGAAGATATTGGCTTTAGCTATTTGATCCAGCTTTTCACATTGCTATTCTGTGCCCGGTTCTGAGAAAAAGAAATCCCTTTATCCTACGATTCCCTACCTAATCAAAACTAGGCTATTTTATCCAAATAGCCAAGCCACGCTGCTTAACTCCTGCATTGATTTTAGCCCCTGGAGAGTTAGATCTGAGAGATCTTCCTTGAAGGACTAGTCAGAAAGGAGAGCAATTTCACTGCTGCTGCCGTGAAGCCATGCCTTTGTCCCAGAATATTACTCTTCCCATCGAGAAAACAAGCAGCGTGATGAGGGACCATGAGACCACAGGCAGCAGCCCCCCTCTGCCCCAAACTTTCACCAGGGCCATGTGTTTCACCTGCACAGGGAAAGCACCAAGGGAGTGCCTCAGAGCTGCTGCCGGGTTGGGGGAGTGTGGCTCTTATTAGGGCAGGTCTAATATTGATGACCTGGATGGGACCTCAGGCAGTGGGTGGACACCATTTGCCACACCTCACATGAATAAAAAGTCTTAAACATATCGAGGTTCTGCCACCTCTGTGGGGCAGATATCACCAAAGCTGGAGAGGGGAAGAGGGAGGGACATCAGTAGGAAAACACCATGAAAGACGAAAAGAGATTTTTACAAAATGACCCAGGGGCTCCAGCAAAACCCAACATCCCCTTAGTACCTCAGTTTTCCTGGAGATCTGCAGCAGGAGCACAGAAGTGTGGGGATCCGTCACATTTCCCAATTTCCCTTTAAAATACAACCTATTGGGTAGGTAGGAAACACCAGAACACCCTGCATCTCTTCCAGGGACACAGTTCCATTACATGGAGAAAACAATTATTAAATCAGCAGGTAAATCAAAAGCTATGGCTTGTTTTTCTTTTACAGGTGCCAATGCCACAGCAGAGTCTTGCAGTTAAGGAAGCTGATTTTGGAATACAAATGAAAAGCACTTTCTGCAGATGTCTTACAAGTAATAAGCTGTGGAGTACACAGTCCCTTTGGTTCCCCAAATCACGCAGACAAAATGAAACCATCACTACATGGTTGGGTCCCCAGCAGCAGCAGAGAGAGAGAAAAAAAAAGAGCTGATTTCAAATAATTGTGACTACAAGATGAAGCTGTTCCCTTCAGTTCGAAATTGATTTTGAAGATTCACTGTGCAAATGAATTACAGTGCCTGCATTTTGTTTCTTTGCTTTCTAAACTCACCCCCCTGCAACATTCCCTTGCATGCTGCTCCATCTTTGCCAAAAAAAAAATCCTGTACACTGCAGAAAAGGTATCCAGCCTCCTTTGACCCACCATAAGCTCTAAAGCTATTCTTCACCTCATTCCTACAATCTCAGACAGCTGTAACATCACATACAGCTGGATCAACTCTCCCAGCACTGGTCCTGCTAAAACTAACGTGCACTTCTAAGAGCAAACTCTCACCAGACCGCTGGTCTCCATGAATTCCAGATTAAGGTTGGGCTGATACCTTATCCTAGGCCCTGTCTTCACTCTTACAGCTCCCCAAACCTGAAAATGAAATGTATCATTGCCAATCCCCAGCACAGTGAAAAAGACTCTCCACTAAGCAGGGCTTACCTGCTTCTGCTTTCCTCTCCATCTCCGCTTCAATCCCACCCTGACCTTTGCTTTAATGCTTTAAGGATAACTGCAATGTGCTCACGCAGGCAAGCTAACTCCTTCTGAACACTGCCTTACGCTGTCTTATCTTTATGTGCTGGCACAAATGAAGCAGAAATAATGTTTGTTTTTTTTTTTTTCTTTTTTTTTTTTTTCGTAGCAGTGCATCCCAGAAGACCTTGAGTAAGGTCTGTTGCCCATGCTGTCCAAGGAGATGCTGAGGCATTGTCATCCTCTTTTGCTGTTACTCATGTTTTAGAAAAGGCAAGCAGGACCCTGAGATTTTCTCTAAACAGGGATGCAAAGATAAACTTACTGCTTCAAGAAATAGAAGTGGTGCTGCAGAGAGCCACCAATTACTGGATTATGATTTGCTTTGCAGCTTTGCTGGCCAAGCCTTTCATAAAGACTTTGACATTTAGGTTTCTTTTTTGGTTTGGGTGGTTTTTGTTGTTGTTTTGTTTCGTTTGGTTGGTTGGTTTTGGTTTAATGCTGAGCAGTACTTGTTCATACTGTCTGTCTCCCATTCTTTCATCTGAAGGTTTATTTAGAGGAATCATCTTATTTTTGCATCGTAGTAGCTGTTTCTGCTGCAGCTTTTGTGGTGACTCCAGCAGCCAGAAGACACCTGGGAGATGAAGGTGTGTTTTCTCAGTGTGAACAAATCACTCCAATATCTGATCCCCAGCCAGCCTAAGGCAGGATGATGCATTCAGGATCCACCACCATAGGCAGGGGTTGCTCTCAGCCCATCCCCATACACCAATGGATCAGGAGGCTGCAGGTTTGGGAGCAGCAGTCTCCGTGACTTTTACAACAGAAGCAATATTTAAGTGAAAGAAACAAGAAGAGGCCAGACAAATGGTGGGGGATCCCTCGCCTTCCTCCATTCTCACTCAGGATGAGAAGGAACCAAAGTCACTGGATGCAAATTCTGCAGAGAGCCCCAGCAAGCATCTGGCAGCTGTTCAAGTCTGGATCACCCCAGCCTCAGAGAAGCTCATATCCACTCACTTTCAGTTGTTTTCAGCAGTGGTAACAATATCTTCCTCAAACACCAGGCTAAAAATATCTTTTAATATCCACCCACCTGCACCTGTATTCTTTTCCTTCTCAATAAAATCTTTATTTTTTTCCTTAAACAAAAGTGGATGCGTAGACAAAAGAAAGGGAAAACAACAGGGGAAACCAAAGCATTATGGATGTTGATTACAAAGGAGTCTTAGTTAATGAGCCCACAGCATACCTTATTTTCGGTTTGGCATCCTATTGTACAGCAGGATCTTCTTTCTGTAAAACACATTTCCAAAGTTCAAACTACACACCAATGTGCCTCTGCTGGAAGGCGCTTTGTACTGGAGAAGCTGAGTGCCCGCTGGGGTTGCTGTGAAAACAGGCTTTCTGTTGGACAGGAAAATAAATTGCTGTAAGAATACTGAGCGATTACTCAGGGAAGTAACAACACTAGAGCACTCCTCTCCGAACAGCATGGCAAATTTTTGAAATCCTCACCCTCTAGAGCATTTCTGATAGGTTTCTGTGGGCTGTGGTGCCCCACCCCAATGCAGATTGGTATCTCTGTTCATGATTTGGGGTTTGGGGGAAGAACACTTCAAATGACTTCTAGCAATACATCATACATGGTGTACGACATGCACGCAGTGACACAGAAATTAGGATGAAAATAAATAACAATGAGACCCAGTCAATTAAATCCAGTGAAAGGCAGCTGCTAGCTGCATGAAATTCATAGTTAAAGGGAGCTGCTCTCAATTTCCAGACAGGTAGCAGTGAAGAGACCCTCCTGCTTCTCTCATCTGCAGCTTCTTCTCATCAAACACGGGGCTACTGGAAAGGTCAAGAGACTCAGCACCGCACAGCTGCTGCTGTGCTTACCATCTATCCCACAGCCTAGAGGCACCAAAATCAAACCTGAACTTAAGAGCATCCAGCTGGGAGAACGGGATCAAGTGAAGAGACCGGTGGGTGGCAGATAAAAGAGAAGAAAGCCTGGGAAAAGATGAGAGACTCTGCGCAACTCCATCAGAAAGTCAGAGGGGCTGAGCAGACTAAAGCAAAGAGCGCTATCAGAGTAGGGGGCTGTTTAGTGGCTTTCGGGACCAAAACCAAGCAGAATTTTGTCCAGTATACTTTTAATTAAACTTTTCTACCATTGCGAAAATACCTCCATTGATTTCATTACCTTGTTCCTGGCTGTCAGAAGTCAGTGCTGGCTGATTTGTCTTTTCACAGTCCATGCCTCACTGTTACAGCACACAGCTTATTCTGCACAACCCCAGCCTGTTTGCAGACTGACATGCAAGGGCAAGCTCCTGACCTCCATGAACCGACAGACATGTTTTCACTGAAGCTGCATGCAAAGTTCTTCTTGTTTTCCTGCTGGCTGTTAGCTCTCACTATAGGACAAAGGATTCCTCAGCTTCTTAAAAACAAACAAACAGGTGCATTTCAGATATTGTTGTCATACACGTTAACCATTAAAGCAGAAAAGAGATTAATAAACAAAAATTTCACCACCTTGTTACCTTATTACAGCTGTGGCTCAGCACCATAGTCACTAAAGTATTTATCACTGTTACACTAAAGTATTTATCACTGTTACATAATTTTCAGGCTGCTTCTCCCAATTTCATAGATGACAAAACAGAAAGCTGAATAGATTACGTGGCTGCATAAATTGCTGTACACCAAAGGTTCCACAGAAAGAATGCCATTGATTTAGACATCAAATATAATCCATGTGTATGTATGTATGTACATATATATACGGGCTTTCCCTTTATCTAGATTTTCATATTTAAAAAGAAGCCATAAGAATGAAGCACCTCTATGTGTCCCTTTCTATAGGCAACTTCTGTATAAATTGAAAAGTTATACCTCTTCACAACCACACCTGTGCAATCCCCACGAGGGTTAAAACCATATCAAGAATTTCCTCACATCCTTGACCATCATCCAGCAGAATTAATTCAAAAGCCTGCTCACAGGCATCGGGGGGAAGCATGTTCATCTTACCGTTCACAGACTTCTTCACTGTTTCCCTTGCAACATTTGCTCTGAGCGCACAGGACAGCTACAAATCAATGCTCCATTTATTACCTATTTCTGGGATCAAAAATGCCAAATTTAGACCTGTCAAATTCAGAAAGAATGCGTGTACACAGGCCATACAGTCTGTGTACATCTGAAAGGAATATACAGCCATGCCCAGGCTTGCAGAGCTAGCAGAGAGCACGACTGCAACCCTGAACCAGATGTGCTAGGCACAGCTGACAAGAGGTAGGCAGAATATCCAAACCCTGGAGCTCTTACTTTGCAAGAAGGGCGAGGAGTAAAAGAACATGCTGATAGTAAGGAAGACTTATATGACCTACCAGGGAAATCTATCTAACCATAAGGATAGTTGTCAGACTCCCTGGGAAGGCTCTAAAATCAGGCTTTTACTGTAGGCTGAAAATCAAGCCATAGTTGTCTTCTTGATAGCAGCCCTCATATTTTAATATTAACTCTTTATATAAGGGGACAGGAAAATACATATCGCAGGGCTCTGTGCTCTCCCTGGCAAATATTTCTTAGCCATGCCCTGTTTTATTCTGAAGTCATCTTTTTGTATTAGGCTGCCCTCAGATAGCTTAACACAGCTCTGCATGGCTGCTGCTGACTCCTGCTTTGGGAGCTCAGGCTCAGCAGCATCACTGAGAGCAGAAAACCACTGGAAGCACCCAAACCTCAAATCCTCTGTGCCTGCATCCCTACAGACCTGTCTGTGCTGGGCTCTTCCATCAGCTACCCTGCAGCATTAGACCCCTGCAGGCTTACCAAAGGCTGATTTTCAACAGGATTTCATTTGGACCAATTTAAATTTCTCTCTTTTCTCATTCTCCTGCATGATTTGAGCTTCCCACCCCACTCTCTAGGTATGTTCCTCTCTGTATCTTTGAGCACTGCAGCTACAAGGACAAAACTTCCAAAATACTTCCCTGCGAGTCTTTCCCTAGTCTTGAACGTTAACGCTTTATACAACCCTGCCTGTGTGCTGGGGGACCCTTTACATTATTTAAGGGCTGTCAGTCAGGTGTGAACCTTTCCATTGATTTCCATTCACTTCTCCTCTCCTGGATGCATCAGGAGCCCACGACTCGCACTGAGGAATAACAATTCCATTTGTTTGAGCCTGGCCTGGTGCTGTTCACTTCTGCAGCCCATATAATTCTCCTTACTGCGCTGCATGTGACATTAATAACAAAATAAATAATTCAGCATGGTTTTCACCCAAACGTAGCCCTGTCAGAGACTAAGATACGATCTTTGCTAGCTTATTTAACGTAACAAGCAGTTGAATTGTTCTTTTAAAGGTTGAAACTCTCATTTTAGTGGAATTTGGTGGCAAAGCTCCCCTGAGACCTGATGGTAACTAAGAGGTACAATCTCCTGCTCCTACCACCCTGGCTTCCCATGTAGCTATCTCATTTGTGCACCCACCCAGCAGGTCAGCATCTTCCTACCTTGCAAATTTAATGAACAGCTGGATTTTTAGGAATCTGCGCTTAGCTCAAAGGGAACATGAGCCAGGCATGATGAGCTGAAGAGCACTAGGGGTGTCTGCACCACGTAATTATGAGAAAAGAGAACCCTTACTTCAATAACGAGCCCTGGCAGTGAGGCTTCATGAATGAAACCACTCCTGATTGGGGGTCTCAGGGCAGTGGGTGAAGAATCCAGCCTCTCCGAGCATTTGAGATGTGCTGCTTGTCTACGTGTCTCTCTAACAAGATTGCTGATAAAAAAAAAAAAAAAAAAAAGCCTCTCCCCCCCCCCCCCCCCCTTTTTTTTTTAAATAACAACAACATTTCCAATAACTCCACCAAAACCAGGATATGCCTTTCGCTACCCATTCCCCCCACTAGGTAGTTTTTCTTCATTTCTCATACTCTCGATCTTACTTGCCCTGTGCTCATTAATGCTTTCCCTGAGCTGCCGTGCTAAAATCGGTGTTGATAGCTGTATAATTTCTGCATAAAGGAACAGTCCTACCAGGAGAATTCATGCACCTTTCTATGCTGCTTCCCCTTACCCAGAAGCTTATCAGCTCCAAAATGATCTGAGGGTTGCATTTGGATCAAGACCCTTATTTTCTCATGACTTTATATTCGCCTCCTGTTCTTTTTTTCCCCCCAAGCACACCACTTAATCTGTCTGTAAGCAACACATTCAGAGGTGGCAAATACATCATGCCAAATTATTCTCTCCTGGAGCAGGGTCAATTTGGTATTCATATTGGCTTTTCATTTATCCTGGGCCTACAAAGTGATTTTACTTTCTTTCAGCTTCAATTTACCTAAACTATTGGTATTTGATTTTTGATTCTGCAGAATTGAACTGTGCCTAGACTGCTGTCCAGGGTGCTTTTCCTCACGTCTGCAGAGTCTGTTTTTCCTATTGTGCAATTGCTGTTTGGGAAGATCATAGTGTGCATTAGGTAGCTGATCAAATAAAGCCTAATGAATTCACATAGAGAGAGAAATCATTAAGGACTGTGATTTCAAAATCCATGAATGGCCCATTTCCTTCAAAATAAGATAATAATGAATAGATGATACACTTTAAAGTGTAATCTAAGGAAAATTGCTAATTGTTTCACTGGAACTGGAAACTGTGCACATGGAAAGGGAGGCATTTACCCCCAAAGCAGCTGTGATTAAGGGGGAATCGAAGAGACAGGAAAAGGTATCCCTTTGGGTTATTTGTCTCCAATCGTGGCCAAGAAGACCATATTACCCCAACCAGAAGCTCTCTCACAGCCCAGGTCCCTTAGCAGCCCACAGTTCCCTTGGGAGCTCCTTCCCAGACTCACTCCAGTCATGCTTTAATGTCTTTCTTGTTCTCCCTTTATGAAACCTAATCCTAAAAATGATCATAGTTCAGCCATAACAATACGGTAACTCCCATACCATCTTTGCAAGGGACAAATACAGCCTGTTTTAAAGTCCTGATTAGCTAAACAACGGGATTAATCAAAAACGTATTGACTTATTAAGCCAAAAACTAGAGTTTAACAAGAAAAGCCCTTCTTTTGAATGAAATCAAGTCTGCCTGCTCAATATAGATTTTAGCATTGACAGTGTCACTGGCACAGCTGGCAGTGAGCAGGTAGAGAACCCCAGGAAGTTTTTCCTAAAATACTCAGCCTCATTGGTTAAAGTAACTAGTTTCAAGGCTGGACTTCCTCCTGGTTTTTTGAAGTAAAAATATTTTACACTAACGTGAAATATTAGAAAATATTCTACACTAAACTTTATTCCTATCGTAAAGAAGCTCATCTTATAGTTCTTTCAGTACAAATAGCAAGTGCATGTTCCCAGCACGGCAGTCCTGATATCACGTGTGAGGTGGCTCCCAGGGTAGAGTTACTCCAGATTAAAATTAATTTGCATTTGAACCAGAGGCTGGGTTGCACTTTTCCATGGCTGCACCCCAAAGCACACAGTTGCATCCACTGGGATCCCTCTGAAGAGAAAAGAGAAACTGTCCTTCTAGTGGGCTGACTACAGGCAGCAATGCAGCCAGTCCCTGCGACTCCACAAACTGCAGCCTACAAACCACCGACCAGAGCTCGGGCTCATTTATCACCAGCCAGGGAGCTGATGACTTCCACTTGTACCTTGGTGCCCACCCCTGCTGACAAATGAGCCGTGGAAAAGAGGTAGGGAAAGGTGGAGCTCGCTGCAGGCACTGACTTCTTGGAACAATAACAATTCTGCTCTTGAATTCTGGAACGTGCTGTGCCTTAAGTGTGACATTGAGAAGTGCTGTGTTGCTTTGTCCCCAGCTCTTACACCCACCTGGGGTCTTAGCACCCCAGTTTTTCTCCTCCTGCCTTAGTTTTCCCTTGCCTGTCAGCTTTGGGGCTGGGGAGGAGTGGAAGTGACTTTTCTGGGGTCCCTGTGCCAGCTTGATCAGACGGGTGAAGGTGAGCCTGTGGTCTCATGCAGGGGTCTGGCTTCTTTGGGAAGACATTAAACCCAGCATCAGAAGGCCAGCTGATGATTTAACACATACACACACTGCTCCTGTCCCGCAGCACCTCACCCACTAATGTATTCAGACACCCCGCATGGGTTTGCCAGGATATCAGCCCAAATAGTGCGCAAAAACTGCCACAAGGACAGCAAAAAGGGATCAGTACAACCAGCTCCGCTCTGCGTGCAACCAGAATATTTATAACTTGAGTGTTTTGCTCAGGGAGCTGGAGCCTAGTTTAGTCTCCTGTTTCCTGCTTGCTTTATTCTCCCCGAACAAACGCCAGCTTTCCATCGTTAATCCCCAGAGCCTCGCACTTCCAGTTTCCTGAACTTGTGTTTGCCTTCCCTGTAGATGTACCCTCTCCTCGGAGGAGTTACCTAAAGTAAGGGAAGGCGTACACAGCCTGACCATTCACAGCACCTTGCTCAGCCCAGGTGAAGGATGTCCCCAAAGTGGTCTGTACCTCTCTTACTTAGCCTTTGTCCACCTTATCTCCAAGCCTGATCCATGCCTTGTCTTTGCTACAGCCTCAAGGACCACCATCTCTGCCTGACCCTAAAAGTTGAGGTTGTTGGGCTTCTCCCAGCTTGTGCACAAGAGGAGCACAGCTCATTTTTTGTGTACTGGAGTAAATGCCTGCCTTGCCTTCAACCAGCGATGCACACACACCATACAGCAGCACAGTGGATGAAAGACAAGAGCGTTACCTCACCATTGCAGGCACATCACTGCAGCTGGTGCTAATAGGAAATGTATCTTCTTCAGAGGTGCTGGACGCATTTTGCACAGTTAAGTTGAGGTAGGTGAACCTCAGGACCCTGTTTTATTCACAAAGAAATGCAGAGGTTATTGACTGAAACCACTGACTATCGCTGGCATCGGAATGGGAAAAAAGATCAAAGTGTTTTCAATTTGCATTTCAAATTATAACTCAAGCCTAAGTAAAAGGTATTTAAAAGTCCTCAGCGCTACTGACAACAACAAAAGAAGGTCAAACCTAGAATGAAATTATTTTTACTTTCATTAGAAAACAAATAATTCAATTTCTCACCCAGAACTAAGGCCAGGGCAGAGAACCAGAGTGTGCCCTGCCATTGGCACATGGGAGATTGGGGTGGGTAATTCCATTAGCACTGTGGGAGTCCCTCCACATTAATTATTATTAATGCATTTATAAATACATATATATAACACATTATACATATATACTAATAATATTTAATTATTAATTATTTAATACATATATAATCATTTAATACATATATAAATATGTATTAATGAGGAAACAAGACATCAACAATGCAAAAACTTTTGGAACCTTTGTTTGGCTCTACTTCTGCATTTCAAAGAAAGATATCCCGGTTTTCCCATCTCTGCCAGAGCATGACTAAATCTTCCCGTACACTTAGCCCAGGAAGCAGGGAAACGTGAACCACACTACAAGCAGCAAGAAACACAAGTGCTATTCCCTTAGCGTTCACAAACTTGGATGCCCTTAAAAGCCGTGTATTAAATAACAGTGTAAAGGGATGGGAAAATAAAGAGTTAACCATTCAGGAGCAAGTGGCTGTTCTCCATGCAGGCACTTGACTCTCTAACATCCTCACCAAGTAATTGTGCGGCGCTCTCAGTGTCGCAGCCATTGTTTCATCTCCTTATCGGCGCTGCACACAGCCGGGGGCTCTGCAGCTCTTCCCCGAGAGGGCTCCCCCCAGGATGTTCGCACACACGCAGAGCCCCAGGAAAATGAAAGCACTCCCAGCCGCTGCCCGTCTTCCTGCACACCGTCTCTGCAGACCTACGCAGCATGGAGCAAAGGAATAGGTTTTTGCTTTTAAGCTGGAAAAGTAGCACAGCTGCTGGGAAAAAAAAGGAAAAAAAAAAAAAAAAAAAAAAAAAAAGAGAGAACAAACCTGGCTGCTGCTCTTGTGTTGGTTCTTAGAGAAAAGCTCGGTCTTTAGGTTCACCAGGCCTAAAGATAGGACAGATCAGATAAATTGCTTTATAAGTTTTCTAACAGTTGCTGCTGCATAACCACATCAAGCTTGTTCACAAGTGAAAACACAGCACTTCAACTAGGTCTTATTTAGAAAGTGAGCGAGCCCATCTCTCCCCAGCACCTAAAAGGGGGAAATAATAGCTACCTGGGGTCAGACATCCACCTTTCCAAAATTTCAGTGTGGTGAGGCCGCAAGGACCACTACCTGCAGGGTGGGACCTTGAGGGGCTGCAGCTGGGGACCTGCCCAAGCGCCTTCTCAGCCAGCAGGCAGCCCCAGATTGCAAAAGCTGCATGTCTGTTTTGTAATTAATTTTGGATCTTGGTGGCTTTTCTTTCTGGCTTACCAGTAGTCCTTTCTCTGACTGTCACAATTTCAAATGAACTCCTGGCTGGGCCTGAGCCCTTCAGTAACTTGTCAAGCAAAGATGCACCTGGACATCTGGATCAGAGAACTGGGCATCTACATTATTGATGTGCCAGCCCTTTTCTGCTGGGCTGGTGTTTTAAAACATTGATGCTCTTCCCAGTGCGAGATACAAGAGCAATAAGCAAAGGCAAAGCTCTCTCCCCACCAGATCAGAAACCCTTTCATGCTGGTTAGACATCATACCATGTCCCAGCACGCCACAACTTCTTCCAGGCTGTGCGAAGGTCACTGAACTAAGCCAAGCAGTTGGGAGAAAAATTCATGAGCCTTTTTCTACTTGGCTGGGTTGGGAGGGTGGACACACAAAATGCATTATTTTTGCCTTCCCAATGCAGCTGCTGTTTGGGAAGCAGCGCTTTACTGTTGGCTTAACCTTTGCAAGAGTCCCAGAAGACACAACTGAAACTTTCACGGTCCATTCTTCCAGCTCCCAGGCAGGTCCTTCCCCATGCAGACCAACAAAAGTCACTGTGCAGCAATTACACGGCTCCTTCACATGGGCGCACACGAATACATACACTGGGGCTGCATCAATGCAGCCTGGTTAAAGCCCAGGTTTGAGCAGCTTGGTGTCCCTCGGCAAATACCCAGAGCTGAGCAACAACAGAGGCAGCTGCAGCAGCACACACTGCCTGAGAGCCTGCTCTCCTGCTGCACTTATCCCAGCCTGGCTTTGCAAACCGTTTTGCAGCTCAGGGATTTAATTGTGAGTTTCCTGATATTGGGCGGTGGTTTTAATGAAAACTCCCGCTCCTGGGGAACGCAGGAATTTCAGCTTTCATTTAAAACCAATTAAGTCCTCTAATTGCAGAGGCAACCCTGAGAAAACCCAGTAAGAAAGTCCTAAAGGATGTTATTCTGAAGGTAAATAAGAAGGTCCTCTGCTTTTCCCACCCAGATTTTATTTAAGAAATTGCTCTCAGGATTTCCAAACAGATTCAATGGCACTGGAGTCATATGAGTAAAAGCTTCATTTTAGATATACTGATATTAATGCAGTAGAATGGGCTGGCAGGGAGAGCAGATAACCGTAGCTTTGAACATCAGTAATGACTTATTTTTATAGTAATGATAATAAGATTAAAGCATTTTCACTGTAGCTTGAAAGAGGCAACACATTCATTGTTAGCAGCTCTTAGAAATAGGCCAACACAAGGCATTTTAATGGCTGGGCAGAGTTACCAGTTGCATCTCTTTAACATTTATATTACTGGGGCATGAATTCAGCAGCAGTCAGGGACTACAAAGCAGCTCTGGAGCATCTGGGATAGAAAAACAAACAAACAAAGAACAAACCACAGCTGAAGTTTGAAAGAAAACTGGAGCAGTGTGAGTTATGGTAAGGTGAGCTCCAAAAGCGAATATCACACTCTTTCCTAAATCTTGGAACCTAGGAGCTGATGAGGAGTAAGGTCTGCAGTATTTATGACTTAATGGGAAAGGCTATGCCTGTTTTCACAAAAACAGCTATCTTGCAGAAGGGAGTAAGACTAGCCAGAGTCTCATGCCCTGACTGTAAATGATGATTTTCTTCCAACCATTTTCTGGTCATTAAATTCAAATTGAAAGAGCATTTTTCTGTATGTTTACACACCTACACAATTCATTGGAAGTAAGAGTCTGTCTGTTTATGGCCAGAAGTGCTACTCCTGTTTGAAAGAAACAGGTTATTGTGCAAAATTCATGTAATTGCTTTCCATAGCCCAGAGCAAATCAGGAATAATTTCTTATAGCAGAGGAGCAGATTTATACTGAAGTGTCCCTTGAAATCGCTCATTCAAAGGCTGATGGCTATAATGACTGCCTTCAAATTGCTATCAGTAAAAGTTTACACACACAAAAAAATGAAAGTTAGAGTGCAATTTGGCAAACAGCTCTATGTTCACAGCCTTCGGTGACTAATCTAGTCTGGACACTAATTTCTCTTTGTGTAGATGGGTAACATACACAGGCTTGAGCTTAATAAGGCCATGAGCATGAGTAGGTTTGCTCAGACCCGTATGTATGTGCAGTGTGAGACCCTGCCTGCCGTCAGCTGGTGCCAGGCCAGCCCTATCCCTACCCAGCAATGTACAAGTGGAAAAGCAAGCTGAATTTTTCCCCTTTTCCTGTGGTCAAGACACCCCGGGAGCCTGAAATCAAGTGACCCCATGGAGAGGCACAAACCTCAGGTTTTGGCTGAGCCTGGTCCATGTCCAGACAGCTGAGCTGAGCCAAAACAGGGACTGGTTCCTAGTGCCTGCGAGCATCTTCCCTTCCCAGGGCAAATAGCATTTGCACTGATTCCTTCCCATCAGATCTGGAGCCAGCAGTAACAAACTTCTCACCGTTTCATTCCTCCGCCTGAGGATGAGCCTTCCCCATCCACAGTGAGGAACAGCCCCCAATGAAATTGAATCAAATGCGCATGTTTACGAGATATTTGGACCAACAAATCATTTCTGCAGTCAGACTGAGATACAGTGGTGATGATGATAATAACTCGGGTTTTTGGAGCTGAATGGCTGTGGAAGCCTTTTTGCCATTACGCTCTGTGAACGTCAATGGGCTTAGCTAAGTGCAGGCGAAGATGGATGGCAGCACTTTCTGCATCTTCTGCTGCCACCAGAGAGCTCTATGTAACATGGGCTGGCAGCTCTGCCCCAAAAAGAGATGGAAGAAGATGCTCTACATTATTGTTATGGTCTGCACTATATTGAATTTATCTTTGCTTTTCCCATTAAAAATGGGTTGCAAAACATACTGCTACGAGTTAACATGAAATTAGTTCCCTACTAAAATAAGAGATCTCCCTGAAATATTGAGGTGTCTAAACAGCTAAAATATCTTTCCAGAGTGGGCAGTAACACTGCCATTAAAAGAAAATTCTGAATAACAGCACTTAAGAACAAACAACAACAACAAAAACCCACCACTATTTTAGAATCAAAACCCATTACAAGCAATACAAGCCTTGACTTTGAGCCTGTTCCTCAGCCTGCTGTTCCCAGGATGGGAAACTCCAAACTCCTCTGACACTCTTAAAGAGCAGCCCAGGAGCTTACGGCTGCCCTCCTACGGCCTGCACCATCCAGAGGTCTGTATAGCTCCCATTATACCTGCCTGGTGTTGGTGTCTGAACTTCTTTTTCCATCTTCAAGGTTGTGGCAGCTATGCCTAGCACAAAGCAACAAAACAGCTAAGGAGAGCTCAGGTACTGTATGTCAAAATCCTGTCCATCACCTAGTGCCTTTGCCTTCCTATTTCTGGGAGCATGGCCACTCTGCCTCCATCCCCAGCTCTCTCTGTTTATTATTTCTTATCCAGTGGGGTATCAGGAAGAAATGATGAAGGAAACAGAAAGGGAATCTGAGCAAAGGCACAGCATAGACCACACCTGCACTTTGGGCCCACGCACTGTCCTACATGGAGGGAGCTGAGGGAGGATATGGAAGGGAGGGAGAGGAGAAAACCTGGAAAACAACATGAGGCAGGATAACTGACTGGGGAAACAAATAAGAAATAAAAATAGCAGATAGATTTGCTGGGTGAGAAAATAAAAGAGCAGATTGAAAATTAGCCCCTAAAGAGCAGGTCCAGGAGGGATTTGTTGGAAGCATGAAAAAAGTAAGTATTGGTAGGAAAACAGGGCAGGCAAAGCAGAATCTGCAACAGGAGAAACATAGGCAGCAAAAGAGCACAGATGATTCCCCTATTAAAAAATGACACTTTATTATTTTTTTTTTTTTCCCTCTAAAGGAAAGTAGCAAAGACTGTTGACAAAAGTGATTTCAGATGAGAGCAATGCTCACTGAAATCACTGGGAGCTTTTGCATCATCTTAACTGGACACTGTACCAGAACCTCAGCCCCTTAGCAAATATGCATAGGAGGAAGCAGGTGTGCAAACAGCCACAGGATGCTCTTATGTCATTCTCACTAATGCAAAAATAATCCACGAAGTGGAATTTAAGATGCGTTGCTCGTGCCTTGTAATCACCATGGTTATTTACTCACATGAAGAAAACTGGCCCAAGCCTGTGCTGTAGTCAGGAGATGAGGAGCTGAATCCATGCCTGCACAAACACTAAGACTTGTGGTAGCGAGGGAAAATTTTACAGAAAAAATCCAGGTAGGACTCCCTGGCACTGTAGTACTGGGAGAAAGCATTTTGCTTTTGTTCACTCTCCATTGAATGTCTGCACAAAACAGGCCTCTGATAGATGAGCTCCTCAGCAGCTACTGACAGGAGGGCCAGGAACAACTGAAAAAAAAATGCAAGAGTTTGAGTAGTGAAGGTACCAGCACTGTGCTGTATGGTGAAGGCTGGAAACGTAAAGGAAGCACTTTTATTATTCACTACCTACCAGACTGTGAAACATCTCTGCTTCAGTTTACTTGTGGGTAAGCAAAAACCTTTCAGGTGAGTAACTTTCCTCAGTCATCTCTCTAAGGTGACCATTAGTTTCTTATCTTGTCATGGCACCTTTCCTTACCTGCATCAAGGAAGGCGCAAGATGGACGAAGTGATGCACTAAACAAAGCTTGTACAAGGGGAGAAATGGGATCATTCTTCTCACAGACTAATTAGTACAAAATTCTTTGATCCAGCTCACTCTGGGGCTTTCACCACTGTATCCTGACACCATTTAGCCACTGAAACTGGGTTCTCAGTGGGCCCAAAACAACCATCCAGAAGGACTAGAATCACCTCTGAGCTTTTACCTGGACTGTGACCTCAAGCAGCCTGGAGGGACCCATCCGGCAATGCTGCCACCATCACCTGCTCAGCCTACCACAGTGCCATGCGCTCCTCTGCCTGCTCAGAAAAACCTTTTCTAAAGAAAACAAAAACAAAAACAAAACAAACAACTTCCCCAGCAACAAAGGGAGATGCTGAACTCAGATCTCCAGTTGAGTGCTTCCTGTTATCATTGTTAGTCTTATTTATTAAAAAATAAACAGAACCTTGTCTTCCATGAGACTTCACAAATGACAAATGAGTTTGCAATGACACAATAAGAGAAATCCCCAAGTGCTTCCAGTGCCAGAGAGATTTATAGACTCCTCCATGGTCTGTGGGACTTTAGCCCTCATTAAGGTCAAACCAAACTACCTTACAAATAATTTAGCTATGACCCTCAGCTCCTTGTTTCTGAACTGCCAGATTATGCAGCCATTAATCAGCTCCAGGTTTGGCCTTTGCTTTTGACATTCAGAAAGTAAACTTCCTCCATGACAGTTCTCCTATTGGGTTTCTCATACATTCATATTAAAAATAAAGTAAGAAAATCTCATTCCGTACTAAGGACTGATGATTCCTCATGTTTCATGAAGGACTGAATGCACCTTTTAATAAATTTGTATGTAATGCACCAATTTCATTTTGCTGACTTCCAAGGAAGCAAATTTCTATTTGATGGGCTAGAGGACATGAGGGATTATTTATCACTGTACGTCTGGGTCTGTAGTTAGTTGCAGAGCCATAAATTTGGAAGACAGCACAGTAACTGATCTTCAGTTAATTTCCTGAAAAGTCTGAAAACTTTGTTCTGGGTGATTAGTTGCAGAGATATAATAATAACAACAACAACAAAAAAAGGAGATAGCCAAACCCACTTTAATAGTTTCCATAAAGATTATTTTGATCAGAGCTCTGCAGGACTTCATTCACTGATATAATACCACTCCCTCCATATAAATGATAGCAAAAATGTGCTTTTATGTCTTGATCAGATTTGGGGGGGATAAGACCCCTATAGCTGTATTTAGCTCTTAGAAGCATGTCTTTAATAAGAACCACCTGTATATCTGAGGGCTGAATTTCACTCGGCAAGGATGTTCAGTGAGGTTTAATTTTGACAAATGATCAAAGGCCATGGCCTTATCGCTCAGTGCCTGCTTCAGCTCCCAGAGGATGGCAGGTATACTCTTGAAATAAAGCTCTGACTTTCCATTACTGCCATAAAGAAAGCTGCAGAACCATCCCTTCTTCATTTGTCTTAATTATAAATATATCTCCTAGCTCATGAAAAATAGAAAACTCCTTACCATAAGTGATTAATGAACCTGCAGATTCTCCTGCAGATATATTCAATGGCCTTGCAAGGTCTTTTCTGCCAAAAATTCTGCTTTGAATAATACATTCTCTTTGCATTATATCTACAGTAGCTAGCAATTAGGGACAGCTTTTGTTGGTTTGATTACTTTCCCATCAAAATGGCACCAAAACATGGAATAAGCCTGCAGAGCACCAGCTCCCAGGCTTGTCACAGTGCTTCATAAGGGCACAGTTTTGGGACAGCTGATGAGAAAGCCCATGTTGTAAATGCCTGAAATACTGAAATATGGTGGATCAGCTAGGCTCTGTCTATTGAACTGTATTTTCCCCATCCACACACAAACAGTAAAAGGCAAAGAGCACACTAAAGGATCAAGCATACATGCAAATCCCTTCCTAGTGAATGTTTATGAAACATGGCATAAGTAGTAATTACAGCTTTCCCTTTTATAGCCCCAGAAAGCTCTATTAACCACCTACCTATCTTTGCTTGCTATTTCTCACAAATGCGTCGAGCTGTTGGGTGAATCAAACCCGCTATCTTGGCAAACGTGACTATTCTTCAGGTAATAAAATATGCTCTGCAAAAAGCACTCATTTGCAAACACTGGGCTAAGTTAGTGCATACAGTGAGCTCAGCATGTAGGAGCGCAGGTTTTTAAGAAGCCAGGCTGTCCTGCACATTTGTGCATGAGTTACGACAAACCAGGCAGTGTGTGGCAGGGCATCTTTCATTGCTAAGCAGGTCAGTGAAGGTCTTCGATTTCATTTGCTGCCACCTGTATTACCAAACCTTGTGATTTTTTACATTAAACTTAAAGTACCTGACACAGAGAAAGAAAGAGGGGTCAGATATTTTCTAAAAGAACAACTTTCTGCAGGTTATATGGAAAAATATTTTATAGATAGTTCATGTAATAAACATAAATATATTTTTTTAAAATTAAAAGTTCAAAAAGAGTATTTCAATTTTTTATTTCTTAAACATTTATAGTTCTGTTTGACTTAAAGGTCTCACTTGCATTTTGACTTCTTGATATTAATCCCAGTTGCTTCCACTTCCTTTCCATGGTAAATTTTCAGAATAATGAGTGAATCATTATCATTTGGTTCTTGCCCCATCTCAATTAGTCTTTTTCTTATTAGTTCCAGCTCTAGCCTCATGAGACCCTTATTGTTTTCTAAAAATACATCTTACCCTACTCATTGTAAGGAAAACTTTAGGCTAAAAACCAAAGAGCTAGAAACAAAAGACAAAGAACAGCAACAAGAAAAACAGGAGTGAATAGAGCAGAGTGTTTTTTTTTTTTAAAGCTTACTATATCTGGGGATGCAGTGCTATACTCCCACTTTCTTGTTTTATTCTTGAACCTGGTGTACCATGTTGACTACTTGCATTCAATCTTGCATCACTTTGGAGCTCAGCAGCTCCAGTAACTCCTCAGCTGAAGAGCTCTCCAGCTATGTGTGTATGTTACATATCTGTATTTATCTATATGCACCTTGCATTACCTGTGTACCAAGCAGAAGCAGATTTTCAAGAGCACAACAGGCAGCATGAGGGACGTGTTTCCAGGAGGTCCACTTCTATTAGAGAAATTCTATAAACAACTGATTTTCTCTTAACACTGAGCACCCTTACTGGGACTTCTGTGGCCAGACCATCCAAAGCTGTTCAGCACCCAATATAGCCAGTTTGCCTAGAAGCCCTGCTGCTAATTTTAGTGGCTAAATGAGAGCTGACCTCAATCATGTGAGGTTTTTTTTTTTTTGAAAAATCTGACCACAAAGCTTTCATTTTAACTGACTGCTCTTCAGGCAAGCGGTAAATGTTTTCTGACGTTGTCCTCCTACTTTGGTGCCCTAACATATGCAGATGACTTATTTATAGAATGCACGAGCTTCATATACATTGGGCCAAGTCCCACAGGAAGAAATCTCATTCGATTTTGCACGGTATGGCCAACCATTTCTCCCAACTGCCAAGAGCTAAGGCAGCAAGACACTTGCTGCACAGGAGAAGGCAGCAGGACCAGCCAAACCCAAATGCAAGAAGTTTTCTGGAAACAGTAACAACTAACAAGAACAAGAGAAGGAGGGATGAAGCTGATCAGCAGAGCTCTTATGCCTTTATGCCTTTTGCCCACCCTGTAGGATGAAGAACAGAGGGAAGATCCCAATGCATCCACAACAGAAGCCATCCTACCCTACATCCAAAATACAGGATATTTCATGTTGGAAATAGGTCCTACTGTTGCTTTAGACAAAGTTCTACCAGTGCTCAAAACAAAATAAAAATAACCCTCCAAAACAACCAAACAACAAAACCAGCAACAAAAACAAAACAAACAAACAAACAAAAAAAAAAACAACAACCAGCCAACCAAAAAAGGGACATCACAGGTCAGCTTTGGCCAGTTTGGTTTAGTGGAATTAACAAATAAATGAGGAGAAACCAAAGTTAATGCTATTCCTTTTAAATATTAGTAAGACAAAATGTTTCTTCCTTTGGGGACATATATTTCTGGTAGTTTATGTGCAAGAACATAGATTTGTATAGAGAAAAATATGAATGTGAAAAATCCATCAACCTCCACATAAGGATGGACACACAACTTTTTGCAGATGTAAAAAATTGATCTGAAATGTTTAACTCCAAAGAACAGTAGCCAACATCACACAAGCCTCCCTCCTCATCAGATGCAGGACAGGGAAGCAAATTCCCTTCTTCTAAGGCCACAGTGCGTTGTGGTGGGCACTGATCTCTGAGGCAGTCCAATCATTGCATAAATAAGCTTTAATTGGCATTCCCAAATGCTTTGAAATCACATTGCCTGCTGCTGGCACTCCAAAAGATATGCCTCTGGAGACATAACAGAAAAAAAATAATAATCAAAGATCACTTGCAATTAGATGCAACAAATCCATACCCGACTGGTATGTGTCAGGGTAAAAATAGCATCAGCCAAAATGGCAAATGCCTCTTGGTTTGTCAGGAACTGGATGCATAGCACCAAGCTATGAGCGATTATTACAGCCTCTGATCAGCGAAGCAGACAATCATTTCCCTTGTTATCTTGCAGCCTGCCCATGTGAACAGCATCAAACAACTATTAAAAGACACCCCGCTCCCCCCCAAAGGGAACACCAGTGGCGAATATCTGAAAACCTCCTCGTTAACAAGGTAACCTTTGAGACTGGTGAGAAGACAAGGGAGCATTTACCAGCCGCTGTATTGATAATTATGGGAAAAGAAAATCGCAGCTCATTGTCTATCCCAGTGGGGTGAAAGAGAAATAAATAAGGCAGGAACATCTTGTGCCGTGCCTATGGTGCCCATCCACTGCATCTCCCATCCATGGACAACTGCTGCCGAAAAAGCAATTATCCACGGAGCTGCTTCCCTGGGGCTGCTCAATACTGCAGTGACATAAATTTGGAAGTTTTCCCCAATGCTTTTTGCTTAGTAATAGGAGGCTCTGTGTCACGCAGCCCTTAGGGACCCTAAAACATCCTGCCGAAAGTGCCCTGAGAGGGCACCCACACAGGTGGGCAGCAGTATTGTGTGCTGGGGCTGAAGCACTCAAAAATCAGTGATTTTTGTTCCCTGAGGCCCTTTGGAAATGCAAGGATGGAGGTGTAATATCAAGCAGAATATCTGATGGTAACTTGGTTCACTCTTCCCAATATTTCTCCCTTCTGTGTCACCCAAGAAACCTTAAATATCAGCGATGCTCCAGCATACAAACACTCAGCCTTGATAGGGACAATGTGGAGGATGGATCAAGCCCTGTCCTCTTCCACAGCCCGACTCCTTTTTGTCTGCAGCCTCACTGCAAGGGATGAGGAAGGCTCCACTGGAGCCTGCACCAGGCTCCACGAGGCTTGCCGTCCTACCCAGGCACAGCCTTCACATCAAACTACTGGTTATCTTCTCAATTAATTGCAGGTATCAATGTGGTTGGCAGGACAGCCCTGCTACCAAGGGATAATTTAATATGACTAAACTGTAATCAAAGCGTTAATAGCCTCAGAATTTAATCTGCTCACAAGTAGGATTTATAAAAGAGAAAGGATGACCAAGGCTAGGATGAATAATGTTAGTTGTAATATTACAGCTAGTTGTAATAGTATAATTAGTTGTGATATCAAGAATTAAAAATTACCCTGCTTTGAGTTCCAGGCCGCGTGCCAAAGAGGAGCTGTTCGTCACAGAGATGAGGAGCAGTTACACAGCCCATTATCTCATAAACCGCAGGGCCCAGGAACAAATCCTACACTCCACCGGAAAATTTGAGACTCATCATTTTACAGCAATACAGAGCATTTCATTCTAGCCCTTAAGCCAGACCCTTTCTGATCATCAGTGTGCTGTGCTTTCCAGTTTCCAGCCTGAACCCAGCTTGCAGGTGGCTATCCTCAGCAGCCCTCCTGGCAGAGCATCCCTTGTCCTTTGGGCATGGCCCCAAAAGGTCTCTCCTGGCCATCAGAGCCAGATCAGCCCTGGCATCCCATCCCGTTCCCTTCCTCCACCCTACCACAGTCCTGTGCAGACTCTTACATAGAAGGAAAAACAGATAAATGAAAAACAACAGCCAACAACCCCAAAACACCACAAACCCCAGCCTTTTTCTGTTTGTCCCTTGCTGAGGAGGGATGCAGGGTGCCGGGCTGGTTGCCTCCTCCGACAGGGGCTGCTTCCTCGTGATGTTAAGCAGGCTCTTGCTGCTCCCCCCCCTTCAATGCCAAGTAATTCAGCCAGGTTATCCACTTCCAGATTCAAAGGGTGGAAGGCATCAGTAAAGTATCATTCAGTGCTGTAATGTGTAATGAAGAAGCTATACAAAACCTAAAGTCTTTCCTCAGTCATGTCACTTTTTTTTTTTTTTTTTTTTAAAACTCTTTCATTGTTACTCACTCAATGAGACACTGAAGCTATTGCTTGATAGACGGGTTTGGAAAAAATGTTTTAGATGGCTTCTACATTAAAAAAAAAAACGAAAACAAAACAACAACAACAACAAAAAAAAACCTGTCTCCTAATTTTAGGCAGCAAAGAAGTTAAATGATTTTTCAGGTTGTGCTTATCCTTCCCTCCTTTGTTTCCTCCTGCATACTTTCTTTTCTTCCTCTTCTCTCAATGCCAAAAAGAAAAAATGTGTGCTTGTAACGGAGGAAAACTGGGCAAGAAAAGATAGCTCCCTCTAGGGAAAACAGACAGGAGGAAGTGAATAAAAGAGTTGTGATTTTTTTTGCTGAAGGCAGCAGCACACCGCACCACTGCCCTTCCCCAGGCACCTCTGCCATCACCCTGCAGCAGCGATGCTGCAGGCTTGCAAAAGCTCCGTGGTTTCTCCATGGTTTGTACATAGGGAAAAGCTCCGCTCAGTACACTCTCCCCTACACATGCACTGGAGCCCTGGCACAGAAGCAATTAAACACTCCAGGCTGCACATGCTCACACAATTTCCTTTTGTGACTGTCACTAAATAAATGCTGCGCTGAGCCAATAAATCTTACAATGGCCTCATTTTGCTGGCAATGACGCCTCTGGCAAGGCCTCCATGGCCCAGAAAGGGAAAAGGTTAACTTTTTCTGAAATTCTCTAATCCCGCTTATCTGCTCCTTCTCCCTAAACATCTGCCAGCTCCAGACACCTGTTATAAATATCAGTTTGCATTGCTGTGGTTCCTGGAGTCTATCAGCAAACTGAGCAATTAGTATTGTCAGTGGATCATTCATTAACTCAACTATTCAGCTTTGGCTAACCTGAGACTAATCATGTATTTAATTCCTATCTAGCTGGATCAAATCAATCAAAAGAAGAAAAAGAAAAAAGAGAAATAGTAGGTAAATATCACAGATCAATAGGTAATAATTGAAAACCATAACGAGAATCTTATCTGAATGCTAACACCACCAAGTAAAGTGAGGGAGATTGTTTCTTTCCCATCAGGTTCTTCTGATCATCATCATGTTTTCTCCCCAGCTCAACCCTGGAGTAACTTAAGTACACAGTGAAAAGGTTGGAGCAAGGGCTTGGTGCCCTATGAATTAGGAACTGCAGCTACTAACTTTACTGGCAAGGAAGCAGTTTCACTGCTGGTTGCTCTTAATAGCGGTCACGGCTGTTATACATGGAGCAGGAGCTGGTTCCTTGCCTTGTATCATCAGCAGAGATAAATAACTTCTGCACAACTTTGCTGTGCAAACCAGAGAGTAATTACAGGGAACCGGCCATTAAGTTGATGAGCTGATATCCACTTCGTACCCTTAGAGATTCACATCCCAAGCCGTACTCAAATGCTGCTATAGCCTTTAACAAGACCAGGGATAAAGAAAGCAGAAGTGCTATAGCTAGTTTTCAGCTATGCTCAGATACATCACTTTTAACAACATCAAGGACAAACAGATACATCTAGAAGTTAATTTCTATTGATGTCAAGAATTAAAGGGGGGAGGGGGGGGGGGGGGGAAGAAGGGGAGTCTTACCAACAGCAACAGAAATAATCCTGATGTGATCCTTTGAGTGGATTTTGTTGGCAGTGAAGCTCATGGACTCAGAGTACAGGAGGTTTGCAAACACCACCAGCTTCAGACCCTGCCAAGGAATTCGAGACACCCAAACTACCTCCCCAAGACAAGTGAGCTTAGCCCCACTGTCCTGCTCGTGCTCACAAGCATCAAGTTAACATACCTGCATCAAGAAGGAGACCACAGGGGCAGGAATAGACAGAGAAAAGAACTTCAGGAAATCCTGTTGCTTTACTTGCTCCTTTGCCCTACCCCTCTTTATGCTATCTTCTGCTATTTCCTTCCATCTGGCTGTTCCCTCACATCAGTACTCTTGCCCCCACCTGAATTCTTTTTTTGCATTAGCTCCTTCCTACATAGGTAGGAAGAGGAATTAGCATCCTCCACACATCTGCTGTCCCACAGCCCAGATCTCAGTTTCAGGTGAGGCTGAAGCCAAAAGACCTAATGAAGCAGTGAAGTGCAGCTACACTCCTGACATGAAAGGCACGGCAAGCTTTCATCTTCTGAAAGGTTAAAAATAAACAGTTTAGCTTTCAGCAAAGTGGTCTGATTAGAGGCAAAGAAAACTATCCTGATTTCCATGGTAATGGAATATTTTGTTGCTGCTACTTGATCTTGTTCAAATGTATTAAGAACACGAAAGAGTGTAATTTCAGGATCTGGAGAGCACTAATATATTTAAAAATTTTAAATTAAATTGATTTCTTTTAAAAGAAAGCTGGCTGATTTTATTTTCTTAATTGGTTCATTATCACTGGAAATGGAGCATGCTCTTGTAAGGGTTTATCAGGATAACACAGAAATGTAGAAACAGCTGCAGCCCTGCAGCAGAAGAAATACCTTCACAGGCAATATCTACACAGCCATATCAGGGACTGTAGATCCTCTACATCATTTTGTCTCTAAAAGCAGTGAAGGACCATTCTTAAAATCATAAATCTTACTAATCTTAAACCAATTACAAAATTCACACCAGTTTCTACAGAAGAAGGATCAGGCCCTAGATTTCATTCACATCTGTTAATGTGTAGGGATACGTTGTAGGAATAAGGATTATCTACGCATGCTCTGAAAGCAAAATAACTCAATTAGTTTGGGTTCTTATCTCATTACTGTGGTACGTATCTCCATAGGGAGGCTTCTTTCAGATGCACAGTGTCCTATTTCAGTTTAACCTAGATAGTAACAAAATAATCACTCAAAATGGGGCACCTTTGTCATGACCTTCACGGCAATAAATACTAAATACATGTATGAACAAAATACTGCTTAGTTAGTGCAACTGTTGTTATCTTTATAGACATGCCCTGGGGTAGGATCATCTCCAGTATTTTTACACTTACCAATGGAGTGCTGGCACAGCAAATGTAATTATTTTTCTAGCAAAAAAATGTTAAGAAAAAAAAAATATTTTTTCTTAGTTAAAATAATGCATTGTGATGACAACAACAAAAAACATATGTTTCTTCCTCTATATCCTCAAAGTGAAATTTCAACAGGATCAAAAAACTCTTTAGGTTCCCGTTTTGACACTGTGACTTTTTTTTTTTTTTTGGTCTGAGGTTTTATCTCACTGTAATTTCAGGTGACAGAGCAACTCAGGTTTCTAACCAAAAGGCTGCTGTACTTTTAATCTGTATATTATATTCTCCTACATGGTAGGAACTAACATGCTCTTATTCTAATAGAAATAACCCAGGAAAGAAAGTGGAGCCAGGAGAGATTTACCCACAAACCGCAGGCAACCCCAGCCTGACTTAGGACAGCTTTCCGCTGCATTAGGTATTGATCAGTATAAATAATCATTGATATATTGGCTCAAGGGGCTTATTTCTTTTTTTTCCTTTTCTTTTTCTTTTTCCTTTTAATATAATGACCTAATGAAACTGATCTGGCTGCCTCCTTTCCATTACACTGAAGACTCTGTTCAGCTGAGGTTTTTACTACACAGTTAATAGAATCACAGAATTTCTAGGTTGGAAGAGACCTCAAGATCATCGAGTCCAACCTCTGACCTAACGCTAACAGTCCCCACTAAACCATATCCCTAAGCTCTACATCTAAACGTCTTTTAAAGACCTCCAGGGATGGTGACTCCACCACTTCCCTGGGCAGCCTGTTCCAGTGCCTCACAACCCTTTCGGTAAAGAAGTTCTTCCTAACATCTAACCTAAACCTCCCCTGGAGCAACTTAAGCCCATTCCCCCTCGTCCTGGCACCAGGCATGTGGGAGAACAGGCCAACCCCCACCTCGCTACAGCCTCCTTTAAGGTATCTGTAGAGAGCGATAATGTCGCCCCTGAGCCTCCTCTTCTCTAGGCTGAACAAGCCCAGCTCCCTCAGCCGCTCCTCGTAGGACTTGTTCTCCAGGCCCCTCACCAGCTTCGTCGCCCTTCTCTGGACCCGCTCAAGCACCTCGATGTCCTTCTTGTAGCGAGGGGCCCAAAACTGAACACAGTACTCGAGGTGCGGCCTCACCAGAGCCGAGTACAGGGGGACGATCACCTCCCTAGCCCTGCTGGTCACACTGTTTCTGATACAAGCCAGGATGCCGTTGGCCTTCTTGGCCACCTGAGCACACTGCTGGCTCATATTCAGCCGACTGTCCACCATCACTCCCAGGTCCTTCTCTGCCTGGCAGCTCTCCAACCACTCATCTCCCAGCCTGTAGCTCTGCTTGGGGTTATTGCACCCCAGGTGGAGGACCCTCCTCCATAGAAAAGACTATCTATTAAAATATTTACATGTAGATCCATGGAGAGCTGCAGGCACTGAAATTTATAGTTTCAGGTGCCTGCTCCTTACAGAGTTCATAAGTCCAAGCCAGGTGTCACAGTTCTTTCCTTGAATGTGCAGAGAAAAACCATAAAAGATAAACTGTTCTCACAGCTATGCAGTAAGAAACACCGATGAGGAGTGGGGGACACAAGCCCCCTTCCTGGATGTAATTAGGTGGCTATGGCTAATAAGAAATCACAGAAACCCTACTCACCAAGAGGTATGGTGAATACAGCAGTCACTAAGGGGACGGGTGAACTGTTTGCAAATACTTTAGGTAATGGGGTATGTACCTGATTATGGCCATTACAGAATTCTTCCTTTTTCTTCTTTACATTTCTCTTTTTTTGTACAGACACCTTCTGCTGTTTCCTGATGATTTTCTACTCCCAAATGGGCTAATATTACACCTTCATAAGCTGGGTCAGCTAAAAGCTCCTCCATGTTGGCTGCTCACAGCCACACAGGTTCTTGATGCAAACTTAATTGCATTAAGGACTGGATTTAAGAGCAGCAGATCAATGCTCAGGGGAGTTGTGAAATACGAAAACCTCATCCACAGATGAAAGGAAGAGCACAACATAATAATGACAGAAAAGTAACCTATCAGGTATATTTTTGTTCACTGTGCTCTGCCTGGAGGAAAAAAAAAAAAAAAAAGTATTGGTGTACTCATTTCACTTCTTCAGTAATTTTTCTTTTAACAATATCTGACCTTATTAAGGGAACTATTTTTTGGACACCCAGTGGTTTTTACTCTGTATGTGTCCTGTTTCTGGCTTAATATATTTCTGCATCAGTGCTTGCAGGAAGATCACCTGAGGAGAACAGAGCAGAGACTGCCAGCCCCGCACTCTGCCCAAGCAAGGCATTAGGTACGCATCAACAACTTTTATGTACAGTCCTTCTTTCTATATTATTTTTCCCTTTTTATCACCTATACGGATCACGCTGCATTTTACCTGGCTATTTTGCTCTTTGGTGTCCCTTGCAATATCTGCTTCATGCAGCTTAGCTGAATGCTGCTGGTTGTTCCTGGGCAGTTTTTGTTGCTGTAGTTGGACGTCTTCATTTCAAGGTTTCTGCCAAACTGAAAGGCATTGCCATGTGGGTGGTGTTAAGCCTGAGCCGCCCTGCAATTTTAAACAGATTGGAAAATTATAAGACATTTATGTATAACTTCCATCATATATAGATATAGTTACTGATAGATTAACCAGCACAGGTCTACTTTAAAAATATATATATATAATTAAAAAAAAAAAAAAAAAGCTAAACCCCTACATTTCTGCCAAAGTAACAATAATTGATTCAGACCATCCTGAAATGCATTCAGGGCTCAACACAGGTCATGGCCTGACAAACAGGGGAAGCCTCACTGTGCAGAGAAATGCAGCCTGCTAGGGAGCCTGCAAAAGCCACAACCTGCTGGGTAGGAGGCTAATTTCCAACAACCTGATTCAGCAATAAAGCTATAAATACAAAATCCTCCTCAGACCTTACAGCCACAAGCACTTCAGAGACACCCAGAGTGGATTATCTCCCTTCAACATGGGCACTCTTTCTATTTTCAGACATCTCATATCCTGACGTTTTGGCCAAATCAGTCTTTGGCTTCGACAACAGACAGCTACCTGTAGCACAGAAATACTTAAACAGCAGGCCAGACTGGCTTTTCCTGTCTTTTCTTCTAGTGTTGGGAAGGAAGGGAGAAAGGGGCCTCTCTCAGCTAGCAAAGAAAGCCCATCCCTGCAAAAATAGTTGCTTTCATCCTACTTTCTCAAAAGCATGAGTGAATGTGGCTTCTTAGTTCCTATAAAGGAAAGGTACCGGTAAGTAATATTTCGGTCAGCAGAATCACATTTATAAGCCATAAATAAAATCCAACAGACCTCAAACATTTATTGGTAGCTTGCAGACCATAACCTTAAGCACCCTGCAGATCCTGGTGCCAAACTGCTGCATTTGGTTTGGGTGGCAGCAGTGGCTCCTCGCCAAGCTGTGACGCTGGGCTCTGCCATCTGACACTGAGGTGGTGCGCCGTGCTGATGTGTCCAGCAGCAAACAGCACGGGCAGAAATTCTTCACAAACCCCAGCTTCTGTCATGCAAACGTGGGAATGGTGGAAGTGAATGATAACATCAAATTGCTGCTGCATTCCCCCTGTGCAGGACTCTTGGCCTGCTGCACGTCAGGCCACCTTTTGTCATATATCCCTGTGCTTTCAGATCCTTACACACAGGCACTTTACTTCATCAGCTCTGTTATTACCTCTCCCTCCCTTTGAATCATTTGGTTGTCTCACTGCATCACTCACAAAGAAGTTGTCCTTCTCAGGCCTTTTCTGTCAGAGCAAGGTCTTCCCCTTCCCTCACACAATCACATTTTCAAAAAAGAAATAAAGTGAGCTTCTGCGTGAAAGAGAGAATAATCTCCATGTGTTTTGGAAATAACAATTCTCATGAACAAAAGATTGAGAAACTGGCTCCCGTAGAAGGTGAGGAAATATTTGTCCTTTGGTTAAGAGAGGGGGACAGGTTTGTCTCAGGAGAATGACAAGTCCACCACCTTGCACACACTTAAGTTCAGGAGTAAACTAAGATGAGTGCAGCTTGCTCACATGCATAACACTTTGCATAGACAGCACATGCCAGCATTGCCCCCCTTTGAAGTAAAACAAGCCATGATGTGTAGTTCCTTCCTTCCCATGTTACGCTTTGCTTCGTGCACAGTGATA